ATAAAATGTCGATGTTGTTCCTTTCTCATTCTTCAATTATCTCTTCCTTCTTCATGAACCAAGCAAGTTGAATATTGGAACTTTGCATGCTTTTATTGGTAATGAATTGAAGTTTTGGGGGTATGTATAATATAATTGGATTCAAAAGAATAGAATCTCAAATTTCTTATCTTCGTTTGAAAAACTTTCGTCATATATCATTTCAAGTATCTAAATATCCCTCTCAAAGCACAGTATATATATAATGTTGCATTTATTTTTTCATTCAATTTTCTGATTTTTATTTGTTTGATGAGATTAATTACTTAATTTTAACTATTTTGACTCCATTTTATTGGTACTTTTATTATTTGGTTTTTGCTTTTTTCAAAAAAAAAAGTAAAGTAAAAAATAAAAATAAAAAAGAACTAAACATATGTCATGTTTGGTACATATGATGATAGATAAAATAGTATGATAATTATTTTAAAATTATGTTTGATTTGTATCTAATTAAAAATAGGATTATAAGGAGGATTATCATCTTTTTGATATAGGATGATTTAATCTCTCAAAATGTAAACTTGATAATTTAAAACACGATACGATAATACAACACAAATATGATACGAATATAGGACATGAAAGTGACATGATTTAAAATTTTAGCAATAATTATATTTAGGTTTAATAAAATCAAAAAATATATTTTATGCTTTTGTATCTACACAAATTATAACACGTAATTTTCGTATAAAATACGATATAAATATATGAAATTTAAAATTTTACATGATATGAATATATGAATCGTCAGGTTTACTAAAATAGAGAGAATTATTTTTAGTCCATGAGATTAAATTTACATGTCTTATTATACCTTTAAAAATTATATTAATAATTTAAATTGTATAAATTAAAAAAAAAAAATTTTGACCAACAAATAAATTATCTTATCTTAATCCTTTAACATATCAAATATAAGATAAGATGCTATTATGTAATTTGATCCTATTCATAATATTATTTTATTCTATTATATCATAATCTTGTGTATCAAACATGATCAATAAAAAATAATAATAAAAGTTAAAAACAAATTACCAATAAAATGAAGCCTAAAATTTATTTGCATTAAGTTGTTGAATACCTTATGTCAACTAACTTTAGATAAGAAGAATTTTTAATTTATATTTTATCATAAGTTTGAGAGGTCATAAGGAGAAATGAGAGGCTTTTATTTAAAAAAATTATTAGAAGAAAAATTTTCATTTCATCTTCTTTTTTTTTTTTAACTTTAAGAAGATGTTATAAGAATATTATAATTTGAAGATCAAAATATGAACATAAACTTAAAATTATTTGATGTAAATATATTAAAAAAAGGGGGCAATGCAGCCCTATGTCTCTCTGAATTAAGTTCAAAACCCTTTTATTTATTTTTATAATAATAATTATAATCTTTGGATCCTACTTTTTCCAAATATCCAATTGGCATAACATTATTGGAAATTTTGCCTTTGAATTGAAAAAAAAAAAAAAAGTGGTCCTAATTACTCCTTATGAAAGCTTTGTATAGTAAAAAGGGGGTTAAGGTAGGCTTACTAAAAAGTAGAGGATAGGCTGTTTGCTGATATATATGCTTTTGCTCAAATCAACAAAGTACAAAACCAGGCCATGTGAACCTCCAACCATACAACCAATGCATGTTCATCTAACACAAAAGCATAGATTTACCTGTTTTTATTATTTAAATATATAATACAATAACTTACCAAAAGGGGAAAAAAAAAAAGACATTCAGAGTAAGCTAACTCTGAGCTTTTAGAATTTAGTTCTAGCTAGCTAGACCATCATCAGTCCAAAATCAATATTTTTGCAACATTATAACTTCCTTTTGCTTTCTTAGAAATTAGAATGTAAACCATTTACAAATACGAAACTTAATTTGGTTGGTATATGTAATTATTTTTAAAAGATAATATTTATTAAATTTTATATTTAAATTTAAACAGTTGTAATTTTTTTATTCTCAAATTATAATTTTTTTATAAAAAAAATTGTAAAACATGAACAACATGAGCTATAGTATTGACATTTTTGTTTATATTTAATTATTACAAGTTGGTAGATGAAAAAAAAAAAAAATTGTTACGTCTGTCATTGTGCTTAATTTTTTTGGCCGACAGGAAAATTTATATATGATCAATTTATTTTATTAAAATAAGCTTTTTGAGCCAATCGATGAACACAAAAACAAATAATTAATTGAAAATTTTTAGTTAAAAAAATATTATTAACATTCAATTTTTTTATAATTTATATAGAATTGCTGGGTATTTTAATATATTTTAGAAAGAAAATGGGGTAAAAGAAAAAAAAGGAAAAAGAAAGGGAGGGGAGGAATATTTGGCGGCTGAGCGATATAACTGCACCAGACAAAAGGGATATTCAGAAGGACGATATGGGGGAATATCAGTGACACGTGTCACGAGGAGAATCTCCTTTTCTTTCCCTTGCCTTGCTTTCCGTTCCGTTGCTTTCTTTTCTTTTCTTTTCTTTTTCCTGATATAAAAACAGAGAGAAATGGGGAGAGAATCTGCAGAGAAAAGGCAAGAGTTGGAGTCTTGTACGAGAAGAGTCTGGTTTTAGTTTTGAAAAGAGATCAACCCAACCCAACCATCATTATTACTGCCACTTCTTTCTTTCTCTTTTGCTTGCTGCTGAGAGAGAGAGAGAGAATAAGGGTAAGGGAATTTGATGCAGTCTCTTACAGAAACAACTTTGCCTTTGCCTTTTACTTTCATGGAAAAGGCATTTCTTATGCCTACTGTTTTCTTATCATCTTATCTTTCACTTGGCTGCTCCTTCTGGGTCGGGTCGAATATCCTAATTACCTGTTTTTACGCCCCGCTTCCATTTATCATACTCAGCCAGCCTCTCACATCAATCCATGCCATGCACGCAGGAGATGCTCATCAGTATCTCTTCCCCCCCCCCCTCCCCCCCCCATGCACACATTAATAATTACCACATTTATAAGCTGTGTTGAAGAAATTATATATAATGTAAATGTAATGTATTAACAAAAGTTGTTGCCTAATCAATAATCAATATACAGATTTCTTTATATTTTTATTTCTGGCGTAATTACTTTACTCTGTTATAAAATGAGTGCTGCCAAGAAAAGTAGAGAAAGGAACCAGGTTTGTTCTCCATTAGGCATGGATCAAGGAATAAGAAAAACTTATCCAAGTTCAAACCAAAAAAGACTTGGAATTCTCCACTTATTTTCAGATTGTTGTGGGTTAGTCATCATCTTATGCATGCATGTTAAGGAATATATATTATCAATACATCAACAAAGTAAAAGAAAATATATATTCACCTGCAGCTTAGGAATTACTTCACCTAATAACATATCAATCGGCTGGCCATGATAATATTTTATCTAGAAGAAGTCATTGGATAGTCCCATGTTTCGACCCAGATCCGGATCCAAACCAGTAATTAAGGTCACAAAGAAATGTTGTAATTGTGGAGAGAATCTTGTTACCTTCCTACCCACTTCATTAAAGTCAGTAGCAGAAGAAGATTCCAGTCTCTTAGGCTCCTTTATCATTCTTTTGGGATGGGATTTTGGCCTTTAAGCCTTTGTGGGTTGTGCTCCCTTGATTTAGAGTCGTAGAATTGGAACTAAGATATTCCTTCCTTGGAGCAAAATATTATATTCTTTTGTGATTAATGTTTCTTATTTAGATTAGATATTCCATCACTCTCTCTCTCTGAATTGCAATCAATTTTAGGGTAATTATGCAACTTTTGAAACCATAAAGAAAGTTGCATTGGAGGATTGATACTAAACTCCTTATGAATATGTCCTTTCTCTCTCTCCAATATGGGTAAACATTACTAAAATGTTTTTTTTTTAGTTGTTGATGGTATATGCTTCTTTGCAACCTTTTTCAGTTAATTAATCATGGTAGAATCATTGTATTTTTTTCATACATGTTACAGATAAGGAAGATAGAATTCTTAGGTCACAATGCCCTTAAGTATTTTCTTGCGTTCACGTATCCAACATCGCGATCGATGTTTTGTTTGATTATTGTTTTTAATTGTTAAAAATATGTTTGATTATATGTTTTCAATTTAATATATACAAACAAAAATATTTAATTTAAATGAATACGAACACGAATTTAAATATCATATCTAAAAATTTTAATGAATACAAATCAATCTTGAACAATTTTAAAAATAAATGAATGATGGTAAACAGGATTAAACTAGTTCGAGATCAACTCTTTTACAACTTTAGTTAAAGCTAAACAAATTTAAAAATTTATTGGTTCCTAAATTCCTAATAGAAAAGTTGTGTATATAAAAAAAAACCACAAATATATACACATAAGTGATTGTTTCTCAAATCAATTTTTTATAAAAAAAAAAAAAGACAGCTATGTGTATATATATCTATATTTTGTGGGGATGGTTAGTACCATATAGCATTAGCATTATCCAACCAAAAATTCTTTTGACTTTTAATTCTATGTAGCTGTTGCCATCGTTTTTGCTTCATTTTGGGTCCCAATGGACATGGTTCTAACCCATTTTGATGCCCTCCACGTAGACTCTAGGCCATGCAAAGATTCATTAATAGTATTAAAGTAAAACAAAATTGTGGGTTATATAATAATTTAGCAATAAAAAGAATAGAAATGGTTAAAATTGATTAATTTTAAACCAACTTGATGCTTTTAAACATCCCAGACCGTTAAATGAAGTGGTTTTTTTTTATCAAGTTGGAGAAGAATCAAAGGGTTAATAGCTTCCTTCCTGACAATCAAAAGTAACAAAAAGATCGAAAAAAAAAGGTACAAACAGTAATAAGAAGAATCATCTTTTGTATTGGTGATTTTGAATTTCGTACACAGACTAAGCACATGACCCCTCTGCTTTCAGACCCTTGTTGATTCCCTTCCCTTCTCTCTCTCTCTCTCTCATTTTTGTAGCTTTTTCTTCCTTTGTTATTTGGAAGAAGTTACCATCCCCTCGTCTGCTTTATACCCAGCTTTTTCTTTTCCTCCCTCTCTCTAAAACCCTTACTTTATTCCTCCCCCTAACCCTCGAACTCACCCCTAAAATACGATCCTCCCCTTGGAATCCTCCTTGTGCTCACAAACAACACACCTTCCCTTTCTTTCTCTCCTTCTCTCTCCGAACTCAAACCTAGAAAGCAAAGCTCACCACACTCTCTCGTTTGTTTGTTTCTTTGTTGCTATTATAGCATGACCAATATTGTTCCAAACAACAACTTTTGCTGAGAAGGGGTTGTAAGTTTCTTGCTGTTTTGTACACCCAAAAGGAAAAAGAAAGAAAACAAAACATATGGCATCACCTTCTGAACTAATCCTAGACTGCAAACCACACAGTTATTCTATGCTATTGAAATCTTTTGGAGATCAGAAGATTGATCAAACCCAGAAGCTTGAAGATTTCCTTTCTCGTCTCGAGGAAGAGCGCCTTAAGATCGATGCTTTCAAGCGCGAGCTTCCCCTTTGCATGCAACTTCTTACCAATGGTACGTATATCATCATTTGTTTTCCTTTTTTGGGATTCATCTTTGATGAATAGAAAAGGTTTAGCATATATTTAGGATCTACTACATGCCAGGATTGGTTTTACTTTTGACCCTTAATGTTGTTTTCATGTTCTTTGGGCTGATGTTTTTCTTTCACTACTATTTTTGATTTATGGAAGTTAGAGTTAGCTTTCTTCTATTTGTTTTGTATATCTTTAATTATTTGATTGCCCAATCTCTTTGAATTCAAAGGGGCCGATACATGGATACATTTTCCTAAGAACTAAAGCATTTATTAACAAATGTTTTCCTTTTCTTTTCTTCAGCTTTGGAGGCTTCAAGACAGCAACTACAGGCATACCGAGCAAATCAAGGATCAAGACCAGTTCTTGAAGAATTCATACCCCTCAAAAACTCAAGCTCGGAGAACTCAGAGAAACCACAAAACATATCTGACAAAGCAAATTGGATGACAACTGCACAACTATGGAGCCAAACAGGAAATGAAACCAAATCGCAATCCTCAATTACATCCCCTAAAGAAACTGGTATCGGTTTCAATGTTTGTCCCAAGTTGGCCTTAGATACCAAGCAGAGAAATGGAGGAGCTTTCCTTCCATTCTCCAAAGACCGAAACTCATGCCCTCGTTCGACTTTACAAGCTCTCCCTGATCTAGCTCTTGCTTCTGTCAATAAAGATATGGAAGATAAGAAATGCTCAGAGACTGAAAATAGGATATCTTGTCAACGGAGGGAGAACTCTGGCAACGCTGGTAACGGTGGAGTTTTGACTGAGCAAGGCAAAGGAACCAGTAACACAGCTGATGGGCAGACAACAAATACCAACACTAGTACAAACACTACTCAACCTCACAGGAAGGCTAGGCGCTGCTGGTCACCTGACTTGCATAGGAGATTTGTCAATGCCCTCCAGATGCTTGGTGGTTCTCAAGGTTCAACAAATTTTTCTATTTTTTTGTTGTCTTGTTTGATTTGATTTGATCATTGGTAAAATTATGTAACTGAATTCAGTATGAAAGTCAAGCTATCATTATCAAAATCATTGATTCTGATCTGATAATATTTTGATGATGCTTACAGTTGCTACTCCAAAACAGATCAGGGAGCTGATGAAGGTTGAAGGTTTGACCAATGATGAAGTGAAAAGCCATTTGCAGGTAACTCTCTCTCCACCGAGGCATGTAAGAAAGAGCTTTTGTACTAAACCTGACAAGTTAAAAAAATGATTTTTTTACCCTTTTCGGCAGAAATATAGGCTGCATACAAGGAGACCAAGCCCCAGTCCTCACGCAGCAGGAGCCCCAACACCCCAGCTTGTAGTCCTAGGTGGCATCTGGGTCCCACCAGAGTATGCCACTGCCGCAGCAGCCGCCCACAGTGGGGCCCCTACTCTGTATGGCGCTCACCACCCAGTAGCTCCCCATGCACCACCACCTCACTTTTGTGCGTCACCTGTGCCCCAAGAATTCTACACCGTGGCTGCAAACCCAGCTCCAACTCCACCCCAGCTGCACCACCACACCCTCCACCACCAACTCCATATGTACAAGGCAACCTCACAGGCACACAGCTTACCGGAATCCGACCTCAGGGGAGCCCGAGACCGCTCCGAGAGTATCGATGATGGCAAGTCAGAGAACAGCAGCTGGAAAGGTGAGAGCGCCGAAAACGGTAGCGGAGGAGATCAGAGAAAAGGGTTAGCTGCAATGAGAGAAGAAGGTGAAGAAAGCAATGGAAGTGAGATCACTCTCAAATTCTAAGAGATTTATAAGAGAGTTTTAGGGTTAGGGTTTAGGTATTCCATGTAATTTTCTACATAATCGATCATATGCTATTATTTTGAAAAAAATATATAGATAAAATTTTTTATGTTAAATGTGAAGAGAGGGTAAAAAGGGCATAAAAGAAAAGTGAGTGTTTGTTTCGTACTCAGTTGTTTTCCTTCTGTGCTTAAATGTCTACTTGACAAACCGTCGAACGTTGGATTATTTGTTTTTGGCGTGTTATGTGATTTTTCGCTTTTTCCATCTGTGGATAGATTTGTCCTTATCTTTTTAAGGCTAAAATGGATTAGGCAAGTTCTCTCAATGTCTCGTGCCAGCATAAATATTTTCTTCCAGGCTACCGATAGCCGGAGGATATATTATAATTTTTACAGATAAAAAACTAATAATGTGATAAACTAGGATTATATGGATAAATACAAATATATATTTCCATTGACTGAAAGTTTAAACATTTAACTCAAAATTTAATTCAATTAATTAATATAATAATTTTTAAAAAAATAATATTTTATCGATTTAAAATTCAAATCTGATCTAGTGTATTTCCTTTATCATACAGCAGGATCTCCTTCGTAAAAAATATATTTTGTTGAATGAGTGAGTTAGCAGCATATAATTAAGATTTATTCCTGAGATTAAGGAACACAAATTTTGATTTAAGAAAAAAGGGGCACCGAAAGTGAGTGTTAAATTCCTTTGACACCTTGGGCAGAAGTACCCAGTCCCTAAAAATAAACTTTCTTGAATATACATATATAATCAGCAGCTTTTTCTGATCATTGCCTTTTTCTTGTTTAATCTGAACAGTGCCTTTTCACGATAACACATTTCAACTGATTGGGGTTAAAGCACTTATGACATTCAACTTCAACTTTCTTCAACCTTTCTGTTTAACTAGAATTTTTGTTTAATTCCTTGGTACTAGGTTCCTTAGTTAATTCTAAAATAACTTTGAAAAAAAATTAATAATAACAAAAATTACAAAAATAAAAGTTGTCTTATAGATGGATTAATATAGATCATATACATTAAGCTATATTATTATGGATTAATACGTTTATTAAACTTCATTCATGAAATACCCTGGGCAAAAGCTATACATTAATTCTCTGCATCTTGGAAAAAGACATGGGTCCGATAAAAACACCCTGGGCTGGGCATAGATCTGCCCGAAAAGCACTCGTCTTATGGGTTGGGCAACAGGCCCAAAGTCCAAAGGTCAATAATAAAATACTAATAAATCCCGGTCTTAACAAATCATCTGTTCAAAGAAGAATTCGCTGTTCCAGCAGATGATATGATAGTAGTGATTAATAAAGAACAGTGTGGCCTCATAACATTCTAAATATCAGTATATACGTCTGGATCGAGGTGCTATATTAATAGTACTTCAATCTCCTCATGCTCTCTTTACATAAAGTTGCAAGTAATCCAATCAAAAGGTAAAGGGGTGCGTGGCATCTTTAAACGAATGACACATCAGATGATTACTCAACTTCAAGTTCAACACAAAATCATGCCACGCCATTCGCCAGACTTCCACCCTGTACAGCCACGTCATTTTCACTTTCTTGCATTACTGAATCAACAAGTGACTGCAAGGTAAAGTTTAGAGTTAGTATAATGAGTGCCACTGTTTCTTTCATGAATGATTCATGCAGTCATCCTGCAACCCTTTTCCCTATCCTCTGATCCTCTTTATACCAAAAATAAAAAATAAAGCTTTTATCCAATGCCCCCCGATAATGAGACCTTAATCCTGCTAATCACCATATGGAACCTCACCACTTCAAATAAACTATTAGCTACCTTGGTTCAATACCCAAAATACAGAACTAAGATCAGTTTCAGCTGAGAAAGCTCCACATAATACAAGGGTGAAAGCATTAACTGTATGCAAGTCCGAGCATAGAGGGCATGTGTGCAATATTTATCTTAGCAATGCAGTAAAATTCACCAACCAAAATATTGATACAAACGACAAACAATAATATGGAATTATGCTCTTAACAATAATGCCATAATCATTCAAATACACATGTTTGGCTCCATAGCATGTTTTAAACCAGGCAACAGAACAAATAAGAAATAACAAGTGCATGTAAATCATGATCAACAGAGTGATGAGGCTAACCTGAAGTTCTTGTTCGCAGCTTTTAAGTTTTTCCCTATATTCCTTCACTTGCAGGAAACATTTATGCAGCTGCAGGTCATTCATTTAAAGTTAAAATTTTGTTACCTAAAGAAAAGCTTAAAATTTACTCCAACCATATTGCAGCAGAATATCTCAGAGGATTACCTTGGTTAACTGCATTTTGCGGCGTGAAGAGAGCTTCTTTGCACCAACCAATGCATCCTCCAGGGTCTGTATGCATTTATCAAATTCTTAGTTACAAAATGAACCAGGCCAAATAAACTGAAACCAGGGGTAATATCATTAAGATACCTTGGATTTTTTCTGTAAATCCAAAACAATTTGTTGTCTCTCTTCTAACCTTCCTTTCATCAGTGAAATCTGATAAGGCAGAAAATATTACTTGTTAATCATGGAAATGAAATATGCGTGTGTTGTTTGTGTATATATCAGTGTGTGTGTGACTGTGTTTTTTTTTTTTTTTTTTTTTTGGGGGGGGGGGGGAGGGTGTAAAAGATACCCTGACAAAAGAAGGCATCAGGACTCTTGAAACAGAACTAGGAAAGTGATGTTCTCTCTACTGATTGCCATGGTAGTGCAAGTACCAGTGTGTGTATGCACATTTAAGAAATGCATTAGACAGCACCTAAATGCTATAATAGCCATCTATTGACACCAGATGTCTTAGAAAATCAATAAGAAATTCTAAAGATGTAGCAAACCTCTGTTTTAAGTTCTTCTCGGCTTTGAATCGATTTTTCCAGTTCTTTTTTCATCTGGGAACAAAGCATAATTAACAAAAGGAAATTGAGATTATAAAAGTATGCATCAATACAAAGTTGAGATTACTTGATTGTAATCATCACTTGAATCTGATGAAAGCCCTCTGCCATGTTGATCATGGCTCATAGAGCTGCAAAACCGAAAATCGTAAGACTTTTTAAAATATATATATAGATAGAGAGAAATAAAACTAGAGTCACCGCTAAAACTGAAGCGATTCATCTGAAGAAAGTAATGCAACTCAGCTCATACAAGAACAAGGTCAAGATGAGATGAAGAATTAATAGAACCAATATGCAGAACAGGTAGACCTTAGACTGAAAGCCATTGACATAAAAAATATATTGCAGCCGTTCATGCAAAGGAAGCACAATGGAATCAATATCAAGACACTGAAAAACTCCATTACGCAACATATATTGTGAAGAAAAACAGTAAGTATTAATTAACCAACCTTTAGCAGCCTCCCATGCAAAGAATTCTTAAAAAAGAAAAAAAAGAAACGAAAAAAGGGGCGGAGGTTCCTACTCATTCCATCTCTTCAGTTGTTGCTCCTTATCCTCATCAACACTTCTATGATAACCATTGGTTCCAGCAATCTCCCTATCTTGATCCAAATTCATCACATCATCCCTCTCCCAATCTTGAATATGGTCCCTGCTTTCTCTTTGCACATTATCCTCCACATTTCTGTCATGATGTTTATCCAAAGAGTATTCCCCAGCCCTATCATGATCATGATGCTCGTATCCTCTTTCCCATCCAGAATCATGGTCCCGAGATTGGTCACGCTCTCCAGACCTATCACTATATCGATCCTGATACCGTTCTCTATCACGATCATAATCTCTTTCTCTATCCCGGCCCCTATCCCTCTCACTCCGTCTAGAGCGATCTCGGCTGAAATTTGATCTGCCCCCTCTAGTGGTCACTTCATTCACTCTCACAACTCGACCACCAATAGTCTGATTATAATTTCAAGTTTCAACAATGTCAAATCTCTACAAGTTTCAAAACAATAAAGAATTGAATCATACAATGCTCCATGGAACCAATAAGAAATACATACCCTGCCATTCATATCATCGATGGCATCATAAGCTGATCGAGGATTTGTAAAAGTAACAAAGCCGTAGCATTTTCCTCTAGTTGACTTATCATTAACAATCTGCGAAGCAAATACATCAACAAGCTTCAATTTTTACCCTAAGGGCTAAACCCTAAAAAACTCAGATCAAACAACAACAAAGAAAAAAATTGCTTTAAAGAAACAGGGACAAACATTAAAAAAAATTCTAGAAACAACGTAAAATAATAGATAACAATTCCATTATGGGTAAATTTTATACGGTATTCCCCAATTAATTCCCAAACAATAATAATTAGAGTTATTTTCAAAAGAAAATTTAAACTGTAAAATTGCTAGAGATTTTCATAATTTAAAAAAGCTCAAATAATTGAGAATCAAAAAATAGAAACCCTAAATGCAAAAATGAAAGTAAGTTAGACAGTAACGATGAAGAGGAAACGCGTGTAGATGAAAGTGAACGGAAGAAAGAAGACCTTAACGGCGACGACGGCTCCGTAGAGGTTGAAGACACGGCGGATGGAGGCTTCGGTGGCGTCGTAAGGGAGTCCTCCCACGTACACCGAACTCTCGTCGTCGATCGTCATTTCCCCAATTTTACTCCAGACTAAAAGCTTCGACTTTTCAGGGCTTAAAGAAATTAAAAAAAAAAAAAGACTTTTTTCTGTGTTAAATTGTTTATTATTTATAATTTTTAATTACTTATATAAATAAAAGACAAAAAATGGAAAGTTGACTGACTATACTGATATTGTATGCAATAATGTTACGACAAATTTTTCAATAAATTTCTAAACATAGTTAATTTTTTGTTTCCATAAAAATTATAAACCTCTTTCGTTACACTAACACATTTAAGAGTGTAATTAAGCAGAGTCAATATAAAAAAAATTTGAGCTCGTCTTAAAATTTATTATTTGAAATTTAACTTAAATTATATAAAATTTTTATTTTTAAACTTGAACTAAATTCGAAATAAAATTTAAGTTATTCGATTTTTTTTATTCATTTAATAAAAATGAGTTATATTTTCATACTTGATTTCAAATTCAATTATATGTTTAAATTTAAACTCAAATTGATATATACATATAAGGGTAAAATAATAATTTTTTAATTAAAATAATAAAAATATATTAAAATTTAAAATTCAATTAAACTCGTAAACTATTCAAATCAAACATTAGGATGATCAAATTTGACTCTCTTCATAAGTTGAGTTACTCAAGTTCAAACTCGACTCAATAATAATCGAATCGAATTTAAATTTTATCCGAATCGAATTCAAATAATTTATAAATATTGATATATTATTTACACCTTATAATTAATTTCAATGTATGATAATGTAATCCTTATAGGGTTGATTCTGATGGAAGGCTCAAGTTCTTGGACCCTTGATACTTTCAGTGTGTCTCTCTTACTCTAAATTTGTTGCTTGACCATCCTCTGTTTCGGCTTCGTTGATTACTTTTCTGATCATGATTTTATAGTTAGATTGTGGGTTTGAAGAATGAAGTGAGAAAGATTAGGAACAGAAACATTGGCTCATTCAAAAATTTGAAACTTCAAATGGAATGATATGGAAGGCATTAATTCTGGAACTTCTTAGAAATCATTTGGCAAATAATAATTATTTGTGTGTATTTCAATGCTTCACCTACTCATCATGAAGTAGTATTTCTATAGTTCTACTGGCTCATGATTTGATATCACATTGATAGATAGATATATATATATATACCGTGACATTGATTTGTTTTCTTATTCTCATGGTTGAATTCTACCTTGATATGATGGTGGAAAAAGCTTTCAAAATGGCATTCTTCCTTGATAGAGTCTTACCTTTGACATTATAAGTCAAGATTTTCTCAGGAAACATGGATACAAGCATGTTACTGAACCCTACTGGTATTTAGGATTGTGCAGCATTGCTGCATTTTTAGCCAAGTTATTCAGAGTTTTTGAATTTGAAACTCGTATATTAGCATAACATGTGAGGAAAGTTTGGCATACATGCCCTGCATATCAAGCATTTTTATGTTGAAACTGGAAATTCACAGGGGACAAGTCCACCTGCTAATTATCATGTTCTCTGGGATGTCACAGCTGATGAAATCCAGTCTCTGACAAACAACCTCTGTTACACTTAAGAATTATGTCTTGTTTGATGCTATATATTGCCTTTCTGGTTATCATGATTCGAATTAATGGGTCATTCGATCTATATTACTGTTGGAAACTTCAATCTACCACTTACATGATAATTACTGCCTATTAATTTCCAAATTACCCCATAGCACGCTTGAACATATTTTTTCTCTTATTTTTGTATAAAAAGCTTGAACACATTTGCATGGTTGTTCTGTCACTTTTTAGCTTGAACAAGTTTTCATGAGAAATATATGGAATGCTAACCTAAGGCATCTGAAAATGCTAAAACACGATGCACTGGCACAACCAATGGATATCTGTCCGGCCTTTCCCAGCATTGAAAGAAAGGATGAAGCATGTGATGGTTTACTGTAAACAGGAGGGAGAAGCTGACAAAGTAAAGAAAATATCTACAAGCTTTTCTAACTGACCGTAACAATTACTAGCACATAACAAAATAGAGTTTAGATATGCATATATGAGAAATTTTCCAGGACTTTTATCTAAATGGATGGATAAATTATTTTGCTCGTCAAAAGGCAGGCATGTCTTTTTCAATGTGCTAACAAGAGGTAATTCCTGTCAGAATTTTGTCCTTCTGAAAGCTATCTCACAAGAAAAAGTTACGCAAGTTTGGGCACGTGACTGGTGTCCTTCCATCGTTCTTTCTCTGTTTACCATACAATATAACATTCCCATTGGAGGATAACAATCATTAGGCAAAACTTTGGTAATAAACCAGGAAACCTGCTGTGAGGAAACATGCAAGCTGACTAAATCAGCTATGAAATCATGGACCAGCAAATCAAGTGGAGAAAATCTGCCGGACAGAGCCCATGATGAAGTAAACCAAGGGTCCCTCAAGGAAAATTGAGGTCTATAAAATTCTACTCTGGCAAGTAGCTATAAACCATTAGCTTCATGTTACACTGAGCAATGCATAAGTTAAATTAGCAATCATTTTGCTGATGATCACAGTACCTACAAGCAGGGTTTCCAAGCTGAAAAATCAATTACATTTCATTTCTGATACAACTGTTGAACAAATAGCAGCTGTCTTATGATTCAACGTAAATATCGATAGCTGAACAAGTTTATACTAATTGATATGAGCTGAAAAGAACATCACAATGTATACCAAACATCACAGTGTCCCTACCGTCTCCCAGATTCTCAACCCGAAAACTGAAACCAATGCAAAAATCCTTATCACTGACCCAAAACGCTGGAAAAAAAAAAAAAAAAACTTGCCTGGTCACTTGGAAATATGAATGTATCTTCAAAGCATTCAACTACCCACATGTTCTTTTGAAGCAAAGAGATGGTAAGCCAATTAACGGCTTCAAAAAGTTATCAATTTGAAGAGATGGAAGGTGAGGTGCCACCTATTGTATGGTCAAAATGATTGTTACAAGCTACTGTCATTGCATGTCTCAATCGACAAAGTTTGCTGTCTTAATTTCTCAATATATGTGAATAGTTCAACATCTTTGCCTTATGCAATCACGTGTAGGTGTATGATGGAATATTGTTGATTTTTCATCCTCCACCGATCGATGATAAGAAGCTGGAATCTAGACTTCTCGGCCTTTCCCGTTCAACCCATTTTCATTAATAGTTATCAAAGAAACTTTTGAAAATAAGAGTTGAGACCACAATCCAGAATAAAATAAAGTAGAATTTATAAGAGAATTTATAATTTAATTTAACTGTTTCATATAATTATTATTAAAAGATAATATATTCAAATTTTAAATTTTAATACTTACGATTCTTTATTTTAGCCTCATGATACAAATTTTTTTTATAAAAAATCATTAAAAAAAAACAAGTTTAGAAATGTGAAAGAAAAATTTAACTATATATATTTATAAATGTGAGTTTATATTTGATACATTATCAATATATAAAGTTTATTTATTATCAATAAATCAAATAATGATAATTCATTAATGAAGTAAATCAAATTATTATAATTTATTAATGAATAAATTTTTTGAAAAAATTTTAATTTATGTATATTTAATTTATGGTTTAATATTTAAAAAAGACTTTTACCATTACTATCACTATGAAAGAAAAATTGGAAAATGTTAGAAGGTAAGAGAAAAGTTATGTAAAATGTTAAAAATGCTAATCTTTTAAAACGTGAAACACACCATTTGGGAAGTCTTTTTCACCTTTATATTTCTACCTTAGTCAAATAATTATTTGAATCAAGAAACTATTTTTTTCTTCTTTATTTATGTATGTAGTATAGTAAGTGATTTATTTAAATAAAAAGTACCACATTTTATGTATGTAGTATATATAAAATTCAAGAAATTGACCAAGTTTAGGTGTTGAAGCAGTGAGAAAATATGAGAGAGGAAAGTGAGAAAGAAAATATGTGGAGGGAAGAAATTGACACGTGAACATGCTGGAACCAGCATTTGTGGGCCCTTTTTGGCCCACTTTGATTTGGGAAGATCCGAACTATTAGCATGTGAAAGCCTATATTTCCACTCGGATCCAGGTTCTGTCCTCTCAGCAAAAAGAGTCACGGCCTGACACGCTTCTTTGGGATCACCAATTTCCATTTTTGTACTACTAATAGATGTCTTTGTTTAAGAAACATCAAATCGTTTAGTAGCAGTAAAAGTGTTTTTTTTTTCTACCACAATTATTTCTTTTCATGGCAATGTTCTCTGATCAATGGTCTGCTGGAAATGGCGATCCAAAAACAGTTTTGTAACAACCCTGATCAAAACCATGATATGTTAACTTAGGTAGGTCTTAGTAGCTCAGCATAAGCAGTATCTCTTAGCTATGACTGTAGCTATTTAGCAAGTGAAGGGAACGAGACAATACAGTTTGCAGGGAAACACACAGGTCTCTCATGTGAGTGTTCTTCCTCTCTTTGCCATCTCTGAGTCTGGGGGATGTTGCTGTGTCTCATTATTTAGGTAAGGGGTCCCCCGTTGGATTAATTTCGTGCCTTGTATTTTGATTTGTTTCAGAAAACCCACATTCATCGATCATCACCTCCTTCTCTCATGATTCATCATCATTCTGTCTCCCATGGTCTTTAAATATCTAATTCAAACACAATAATAATAATGAAGGAAGAATCAACCCTATTGGCCCCTCTCTTGTTTCTACCAAACGTAACTCATCGCTAGCTTTCACTCAGTTGATTTCAAATAGTACTACCTTATTTAAAAATGAAGGAACAGAAAGCTTTGTTTAGCTTGGAAGATGCAGTGTATTATGTTTGGTTAACTGTCGGCTGATAGCCTGATACAGTGATCCTTATTTAAGCCACCCACCCATTGAAATAACAGTGGCAAAAAAAAAAAAAAAGTAGCTATTGCTGTATATGGTTACTCTTTTTGCAGAAGGATTTGGCAGATTCAATGGCCTATCCATGTAGTGCCACAAATGCCTGCAGCACTCATCATCTCTTTGAGAAAAAACAAAGTCTGGTGGTTGGATGAGAGATTTGGATTCATGTTTGGTCACAAGCAGCACTCAAAACCTGAAAAAGGTCTCTGAACAAATTCCCCAGTTTAGAAAGTGTGCGATATCACTACCAGTGTGCTTCAGCCTTTGGCAACAACATAAATCCAGTCCACACACAATACACGTAGTATTTTATAAGTAATTAAAATACTATGAAACGTCTGGGAACAGATTTCTTGTCATGTAAAATCTTATTGAAAATATCACAGATGAAAGCTGTTAAAAAAAAAAAAAGACTTTCTAAAAATAACCAAATTACCCCAAATTTACCTCAAGGCTTTAGTTATTAGTTATTAATATTACTCTGCAGTCTTGCCTTCCTACGAGGATGTCTGATGATTATCACACGCCGGGAACATCACCCGCTGCATCAGGCAAGGCATGCCAAGCCGAGGCTGCAATGAGAGGGTGGCTATGCCATCCCAGAGTCAAACACCCTTCATTTTCTTCGACCGAATACCCCTCCGCCGAGAACAAAGTCAATAACATGCTAGCTTGTTTAAACGCGCTGGACCCCAAATGTAATGGCCTTAACCCCGCTCCACTCAACCGTGCCCTCCACTTAGCTAATGGCTCGTGTCTTTCCACTCTAGCCGACCCTTCACAGCTCACCACGTTGGTTATTTCCCTCTGAATGTATATCTCGGCTAAAGCTTTTTCCGTTTGAACTGTGCAAGCTTCTAAAGAATCGAACATCGTTGAATAATAATGAAGAGCTTCCGTGAACCGGTCCAGAAAACCGGGTTGGTTGTGGTTTGCTTCTTGTTCAACAACAGTCATAATTTTCGGGTTTAAGCTCCGGATCCAACTCAAAAACGTTTCGATAGTAGAATTCCCAGTCGAGTCGGATCCGAGTAAGCGGTGAAGCTGCATGATTGAGTTAACAGCCACAGCTTCTTTTGGATTCACCTGAAGCATCCACGGCTTAAAGTCTTCGAGCCTGGAAGCTGCGACTCCACGGAAGGCGAAATGGACGTTGACTGACCGAGCCAACTCGGCGAGTCGGAAACCGATTTCGCGAAGCGAATCACGGCCATCTGGCGATGGCGGTCCAATGCCTGTCAAACGAAGTACAGGAGGTCCACCGGGACGTAGAGCGAGGGCTTGTATCAAAGCTGGCCATTGTAAGCCGTGCATCAAATTGAAATCCACCACGTGGACGCAATCGTGACCGTCTAAAGCTTCGAGAATCGCCTGATTGGCCGTGAAGTGAGCGAATTTCAAGTATGGACACGCTTCGTAAAAATGATGATACAAAATTTCGTTCTCATAACCGGAGCCACCGTTAATAAAGACGCCGCCAATTCCTTGGAAAATACGACGGCTCAATGCGTCGATAAAATGACCAGCAACTTTACCGATACCGCAAACGGTGTTGACACGTGTCAGTAACCCTTGCATGTCGTCGATCAATGAAGTAGCCAATGAGAGGTCTCCACGTTGGACGCACTCCGCACACGTCATCAACATGTGGACCAGCATTATGCCGGAATCTTCTTCCATGGCTGTTACAACCGTCAACTGATGATTCAAACTTTGTTGCTCGTAAGAAATATTCTGGTGCACCTGCGGCATATGATGTTCATTGGAGGTCCACGCATTTTTTATCGCCGTCTTATTGGTTACAGGATCCATGATGAATTCGGATGGGCAAGTAGGAGGTTGAGCGAACTCGGATAGCAGCGAGTCGACCCAGGAGGTGATATCGGAAGGGTTATAGTAGCTATGGGTAGCATCGGAAGAGAGTTGAGAGGAATCTGCGAGGGAATTAACCGTGGCCGTTTCGAGTCGTTCAAGTTGCTGAGCTACTTTTCGCAGTTCGGATGACCGGACTTTGTATCCAGCTCCAGGAAGTAGCCCATCGATATCCTGCTGCTGAGGCGGCAGCCGTGGTTTGGAGGACGATGATGATGAGCTGCCACTGTTACTCCCCGTTGACATGGCGGAGTCGTGCAATACCATGATTCAAATTTCTTTTCCTTTATTGTTACTAAAAGAAATTAAAGTTCGACAATAATCATATAATAGCTAGACTATCATGCCCAGATTTTGGCGAGAGAGAGAGAAAGAGAAAGAGTAAGAGAGCAAAGAAATGAATGAAAAAGAGGCGTTTAAAAAGAAGAGCTTTTGAGCTGCGGGAAAGGAAAAGTAAGAGATTGAGGGGATGACGTGTATCCATCTTTTAGACAATGATTTTTGCTGTCACCATCTTTTCTTTTCTTTTTTTTTTTTTTTTTTACATTTTAATTTCGCTAATTATTAACATTTAGTCAAACAAGTGGTAATCTTTGGGAGAAAAAAAGGTAGTTTCTATTTTTTTTAAAGAAAATTTGTTCTACATTAAAAATAAAATTATGATAAGAAGTGAAATGTCATAAGTCGATCAAGAAGAAAATTTTAATTAAATATTAAAATAATATTAAAAAAAGGGAAGGATAGGTTATTTTATTATTAATCTTGAAAATGATCTTTTAACCGCATTGAAAGATTGATTAAAAAAAAAAAGAAAAGGAAGGATTCATAAACTTTTGTCGATCCACAATTATGAAGATAAATCTAATTTTCTATTATTTTTCCATTGAGAAAAAACTAGATGGACTGAAATCCGAATAGGGCACATTCACAATGACATTATTTATAATTCCGTACAATTTTAAGGCTATTATCTTTTAATGTTTGTATTATACGTATTTATCGAATATAATTAAGTTCGGTTCAATTTAATAATTTAATTCTTAAATTTTGTTTAAGTTTTTTATATTTATTTTTTAAAAATTTAAAAATAATATCTTTTTATTTAATTTTTAATTTTTTATTAAATTTTAAGACGTAAATATCTTAATATATTTTTTTGAGGTTCACACTATAATATAATATATTTATATTTTGTATACTATATATTTTATATAATTTGGACCAAACTAAGTCAAAATTATTAGAGTTACAATCAAATCGAGTTTTTAAATAAACATATTTTTTCTATCCAAGTAGATTCAATGAACTTAATATTTTTGTCCAATTCTTAGGATGAGGTTTTGAATTTAGAGCAAATAGCTTCAACCTAATAACTTGATTCTTAATCGGATCAAATATATTATATTTTCTTTTATCATTTAGTACCATCATTGTTCATTATCGAACATTGCGAAACCTAATTTATTATCATGACATGGCTTGAATTGGCGAAAAACTTTTGTTAGTATTATTGAGTAAAACTCTTATGATAAGTACATTAAAATTTAGTAACCATTATTATGTATAATAATAATGTAAAACCAATGGTGATACAAGTCAATGCCATGACATTGAAAAGGAGGAGCTAACATATTCTCTCTCTGTCATCCCATGAATTAGGAAGTTAAAAAAAAAAGTACAATAAGTTGCAATTATTGTTAGAGAGACAAAGAGTGAGTGTGAGAGAGGGAATTTGGATGTTTAAAAACAAGTAATTGTTCATTGAGCACGAAAACAGATTACATGAAAAGTTGTTCATTTAGAATCACTTAAAAACTATTTTACGAATCATTCAAAGTACACGAGTTTGTAAAATTTTGAAACCCTTTGCATGAGAAGAGAACACAAGAAAGTTAATGAGATCCAGGCCAAAGGAAAACCCAAGATTTTGCAATGGTTAAAAAGTTTTTTTTGAGTGGATCCCTCCACCATCCATAAAAAAAAGGGCATAGCTGTTATGTGGTCTAGTAGAAAACATGGAATTTGGGAGCAGTTTGCAAAACCCAAAATGCTCAAATTTGAGAGCTAAAAATAGGGGGAAAAAGGAGAGAGAGAGAGAGAGAGAGAGAGAACAGAGAAGTGTGTTTTTTTTAGTATCAATCAACACAAAAGCAACCAAAAAAAAGAATGGGGACCCATTTTTGCCCTTTATGTTGTGGATGGACGGCTGGCTGTGGCATGTGGGTTTGAAGAAATGAAAGGGAGGGAATTGGGACCAGCATTTTCCTCAAGAGAACATGTTGTGTATAGAAGAGACCTAAATTGTGTGTCCCATTCCATTCTTTTAGCTGAAACCGTCACGTTACAGCACCTGTAATGTTATTGGCAACATGATTCATGAAAGAGAGAGAAAGAAAGCAAAACTCAAGTAAAACGTGTCTTTTGGCTCGGATAATCACCAACCTTCTTACTGAATTCTGTAATTGATTCCCAATTTGTTAATACAATTTTCTTTGCTTCTTTTTGTTTTTGGTGTTTGGTAATACCATTTTCATGCATCCATGCATATCATCATACCATTCTTTTTTACTGCACTTGTCATGTGCAAGTGCATCAATTTCATATGTAAACGGCATATTGGTCAAGTGGCCAACTAGCTGTCATAAGCCAATTAACTAGATATCAAGAGTTTTCAATGGTGAATATGAAAATATACAGATCCCCATCAATGTTTAACAAAGATGATGTATGACATCAAGGTTACCTAATAAAGGATGTAAAATCTTGTATTATTTAATGACACCAGAAAAAGATTGCTCACCAAGTCAACATGAAGAACAGAAAGAAAGCTATATCTACATATAAAAATTGAGCAAAGTACATATACCTTAGTAAGTTATGTTTTTCTCCCATCCATGAGGCAATTAAAGTTCTTAAACAGGGCAACTGATTATACCAAAAAGCATAATTTAACCATTTTTTCCCTTCCAAATAGAAGTTTCAAAGATTAAATGCATCTTTCCTAGGAGCAGTTCATAGGAGAATTGCCATTTTAAAATAGATGGAATCTTGCAATCTGATCTGGGTTTTTAGAACTAGTCATGACAATCCCTAGTTTCTTACATATACACTTTAGGCCCATCCTAGAAGAGTGTGAATGGAACTAGAGAAACACAAATAATATAGCAAGCTATGGGCTTGCCCATTTCAATGAACTGTTTATATATCCTAGTTTTGAACCCCATGAAAACATCAGAATTGTAATTTTAATGCACTGTTTGTTATACGAGTTAACAGAGGGCATAATTCAGGATTTGTTTCTTGAAAGACAGGATTTGTAGAGATGCATAGAAGCCAGAAACTATATATATTAATTAATTATTCATCTTTTATTTCATATATTTTTTGTTGGAGAATATAATTCATCATTCTAACTTTCCCTCTTATCAGAAACAAAAGAGATTTAGTAACTAAAGACAAAAAATATGCAAAGCTCCATCTCGCCAACTAACATAAATTTCATGACCAGCTTGGAGTTTCATCTTCTTAATCATAGCTGAGATTCCAGTGAGAAAATAGCCATAACCAGCGCTCCTCAGGTACACCTCGAAGCAATTACCAGTTTTGACGTCGGCCGCCACAATTTCCACAGACCCTTCAGCTGTATCAAGGATGTCAATCTGTTGTGATGTCAAATTTGGTTTGATGATGGTGTCGACGTCGTTCTTCTGTAAATACAATCGTCTATTACGAACTTCACTTTCAGAAACTAATTTCTTGAAGTAGGCTTCCACATTGTTACTACCACAACTTGAATTAGCAGGTGATGCTTCCATGTTATCTCAAGGGTTTTACTTAGGCAATTGAGAAAAAGAAATAGATTGTTTCGAATATGTTTTTTTCGTCGCTATGTTCATTATACGTAGTAGCAAAGGGCGTTAATTTTTCATTAATATTATGCTTCAATGCTTATTTATGTTAACATAATATTATGCAAGATATTGTAATTATGTAATCAAATATAATATTAGAAATTATGATCTTATAATTAAAAAATAACTAAGATTATAATACGATTATGATATCGATTGATTTTTTAATTAATTAGTAAGTGTTTTATATATACAAATAAGACAATCTATAGTCAATACAAAATTTATTTCATATATTTAAGAGCAAAGGCATGTTTATTTTATTTTATAATTTAAAAAAAATATTGTTTAAGCAACTTGCACTGAGTTTGCTTGGAGCTGTCTTATATCGTCAATTAAAGTCATTTCAAAGTCTATGTAGCAGTCTCTGCTTCTTTTGGATTTTGAAATAAAATTCAGTTATCCAAAATAAAAAAAAAAATGTAATTTCACGGTCTTGTTATTGAAAATATTAATAAAATTGATGAGTTTTATTCTCAATTATTTTACTAATCAAGTGTTAGTGATTGAAAATTGATATATTGGTACGTTCAAAATGTTGAGAAGTGATGGAATTTGATCATACTTATAACAATCTATAATCATTAAAAAGTTATGCCACAATATTGATTTATAGGTACGTTCGCAAGCAAAGGACTTTAGAACTTTGCCACCATTATCAGGTTTATCCTCAAAGAGTACCTCAATCTCTGCGAGGGTTTTACCTTTTGTTTCAGGCAATAAAAAGTAGAAGAAAATGGTAGTCAATGCCATAATCCCAGCATGACAGAACTAAACTCCAGCAAAGGTAATCTTGCTTGCCATGGTTAGGAAGGTCATGGCCACAGCACAAACCAAACCTGAAATTCTGGGATAATGTCATAAATATTTCATTATAGTTGAGGTATTACATTAAAAATTTTAATGTTTAGATACCACATTGAACATTTGCTCAAAGTTTAGGGACCATTCATGACATTATCACAAGAATGAAAGGTCAGCACAAACAGCAATTATTCACAACTCAACCCCCAAGGTAGCTTTAGGGTCATTTTCTACAAGAAATTTTGATCCCAAGCCTAACCATACCAAAGAAGCAACCATCCCAACAGTTCCTACAGATAGTAGTGATCGCCTTCCAAACCGATCTAAGAAAAGAGCAGAAACCAGAACAAAGAATGTCTTGCTAAGTTCCATGATTACTGACTCTAAACCAAGATCACCAGAATATTTATGAACAAAGGAAAATAAAGAAGAAACAACAAAATACATATTCCTCAACTGTGGTAAGCCAAAGACCATAACTAGAATGCCACCATAACAAAATACATATTCCTCACTAGTACTTGAGGCAACAAAGAATGCCACAATATTGTCAATTATTAATCCAAAGCATAATGATTTATAAATCATCAAAATGCTAAATGGCTAACCATGTTTAAATTCTAAATATGGGATTGTGAGATCTACAAGGTATTTTCAAAATTAGGGATACTAGAGATTCATACATCCCAACAGTTTTCAGTGACTAAAACCATGAAAAATGAGAAATAATATTGGTCACACAGAAGCATGTTTACCAGAAACACTCTTATCTTGATTTTCTTCATCATCATCATCATCATCATTCTCATTCTCATCAACTGTCTGCCTGGATGCTGTTGACTCACGTGGCGGTCCAGTAACTGACTGCTGATAAAGAACCCCTCCAGCCAATGTGAAGAGAAGGCAAACCAAACCAAAAGGAGTAGCATGCTTATCCCAAATCAATACATTGATCACAACTGTAAGAAACTTATTAACCACACCAGTCACAGTAAATGCTGTGGCCGAGATTGCCCTCCTAGCCGCAAACCCAAAGAAACTAATGAGCAAACCAAACAAGCACGACAAAGATACTGCAGTAAATGTCACAGGTTCAAACCAATTCCCAGCATTGGCTCCCAAAGCTGCAAACACCTCTCTGTATTCTCCAGTCAAAACCCAAAATATAGGTGCCATCATCAACGATAACAAGTTATTGTACAACACAAAACCCCAAGTGTTCAACCCAAGATTCATCACCATATGCTTAATATAAACCATCTCAGTAGTAATTGTCACCAAATATGCAAACGCCCATGAATATGCAGTCAAAGTAAATGCTGAATCAGTAGCCACATACCCAACAGCACCACCCAGAATGATCAACAGAGACAAAAATGTTAGCTTTGACGGGCACGGTTGCCTCCTAAAGGTTGTATCAGCGACAGCAACCAAAAGGGGTGTCAAGGATCTAAACACTATAAAAGTATCCACATTCGCATGACGCAAAAGATTGGTGTTTGTGAAGATTGCAAGGTAAAAGACAAGAGCAGCAGGCAAAAACTTCTTGGCAATATCCAATGTGAAAGGATCATGATGTAAAAACCCAAACTTGCCCAAAACCCAGACCCCTAAAGCAGAAGTTAAGTATTGCAATGCAGTTAATAAACCTGGGTAGTTGAATTTGGTTATTGCAAATTTGTTGATAACAGCAAGTAAGCTTGAACAAAGTGCATAACCAACTACCAAACTGCTTGTAGCATAGTATTGCCTGGTGGAATCAAATCTAATTGCTGACATTTTTTCCGGGAGGATTCCGATTTTACGTTAAAAATAACAAATACCCAATGTTGAAATTAGTAGATCTTAAAAAAAATTGACAATGGCAGATGCATTAGTGGAAATTATAACAGGATGTGAACTAAAAAAAGGACTTCATGGGAAGAAATGGGGATTTGGGTATTTTAGAGTTTTATACGATCTAACAAATTAAATGAAAGGAAAAGCAGATTTAAAAGTCTAACAAAGAAATTAAAACATCTATAATGGAAACAGAGTAGTCACCGACATAGAACAAGAACAGGGAGATCTTGGAGAAGCAGAGATCGAAACGAATCGTTGTGGAAGAGCTAAGGCGAGGCTTTTGAAGAGGTGAAAGCTGAGTGGCTTGGTAGAGCCGTAGGAATTTACCATAAAACAAAATCGCGTGTCTTATTTGGTAACAGGGACAGCGAGCGAGCCAGTGCTTTCCCACGGCTATACGTTTGCAATAAAAATCAAAGGGAAGGACGGGTTCAGAGCTCAGACTTCATCAGAGTGCTTTTGAACGCCTATACGACAGCGTCTTGAAAGGACAATGATTCAATGATCAATGTTGCAACTGGCTTTTACGGGCTTGGGTGTGCAGACCACTTTATAGGAATTAGAATGGCCCACACTCGAGCTTTTGCAAGGCTTGAGTTTTGCCCCACAAGTGTAGCAGGCTTGATATGGCTCATTTAAACAAAAGGGTTAAGGTGGAGGAAAACTTGAAACGTCGGATCAGATTTGATTTTTTTAAATATTAGATAATATTATAAATTTTTATATAATTTGAATAGAATTTTGTTGATTTAGTTTGGTGTTATTTATCGGTATATTAAATTTAATTTTTTAATTTTGATATATTGTTTTAATATAAAATTTTAATATATATATAAATAAATTTTGATATAAAATTATCATTTTTATTTTATAAAATTTAAAATATATATAATTTGAATTTCTTTGTAATTTTTCATCTCTCACTTCGTAATTTAATTAAAATTTAATATATATATATATATTTAATATTTAAATTTAATTCGAAGTAAATAAAAAAATTATCTAAATTAAATTGAATATTGCAATTTCGAAGCAATGTTTTATTTTTTCGATTTTTTTCTCTCCTGGGAACAAATGTCAACTCGGCATCTTCTCGTTGAAAGAGAAGGGGGAAGGGCAGCAACACCACTGCGAAGTAAGGTATTGTCCCCTTTAACAATGAGAAACAAAAATTTGGGCCCTGACTTCTAACAAACGCAAACATATAACGTGAATGATGCTCCTTCAACATCAGCTTCAGTTATTTTACTTCATTTCCCGCCATTACATTTTATCAAAGCCACGCCTGTTCTCGTTTCACTGTCCACTAACCAAACAATCATGCATCTCTCGTCTCAAAAACTGCAAATCCATGAATCACCTTAAGCAAATCCAAGCCCAAACCTTCCTACTTGGCCTGCACCAAGACAGCCACACTCTCAACAAGCTCATAGCTTTTTGTACGGACCCATCTCTTGGAAACTTCCAATACGCTGAAAGAATCTTCAATCTCATTCAATACCCATCTTTGTTTATATACAATGTGATGATCAAAACGTTTGTGAAAAAGGGTAGTCATAAAAATGCAATCTTGGTCTTTCAGAAGCTCAGGGAACAAGGTTTGCAGCCTGATAATTTTACCTACCCTTTTGTTTTTAAGGCGGTTGGAAGCTTGGGAGAGGTTTTTGAAGGTGAAAAGATTCATGGGTTGGTGGCAAAATCTGGGCTTGAATTTGATGCTTATGTCATTAATTCTCTTATAGATATGTATGTTCAAGTGGGTCTGGTGCCTTATTCAAAGAAGTTGTTTGATGAAATGCCTGATAGAGATGTGGTTGCCTGGAATGTGTTGATTTCTGCGTTGGTTAAGTGTGGGAAGTTTGAAGATGCTGTGAATGTTTTTGGATTGATGAGAAAAGAGGGTCTGGTTAAGCCTAATGAGGCTACAATTGTTAGTACTCTTTCAGCTTGCACGGCATTGGGTAGATTGGAACTTGGCAAGGACATTGACCGTTTTGTAGGTGAGGAACTTGAATTGACTAGTATAATAGGGAATGCTTTGTTAGACCTGTATTGTAAGTGTGGTTGTCTAGATATCGCTAGGAAAATTTTTGATGAGATGCCGAGTAAGAATGTTAATTGTTGGACTAGTATGGTGTCTGGCTATGTAAACTCTGGTCAGCTGGACGAAGCTAGACAGTTTTTTGAGAGAAGTCCAGTTAGGGATGTAGTTCTTTGGACAGCTATGATTAATGGTTATGTGCAGGTCAACCGTTTTCACGAGGCAGTGGAACTTTTTCAAGAAATGCAGATTCAAAGGGTCAAACCAGATAAGTTTGTTGTGGTTTCTCTCCTATCAGGTTGTGCTCAGTTGGGAGCTCTCGAGCAAGGGAAATGGCTTCATGGATACCTTACTGAAAATAGAATTGTTGTAGACATTGTGGTTGGTACTGCTCTTATAGAAATGTATGCAAAGTGTGGGTGCATAGAGAAAGCTTTGGGGATTTTCTATGGGTTGAGTGAAAGGGATACTGCCTCTTGGACTTCAATTATATGTGGGCTTGCAGTTAATGGGGAGACAAGCAAGGCACTTGAGTTATTCTCGGAAATGAAACAAACTAAAGAAAAACCTGATCATATCACCTTTATTGGTGTTTTAAGTGCTTGTAATCATGGAGGATTGGTTGAAGAAGGTCGGAGGGTTTTTGATTCCATGTCAAAAGTGTATCAGATTGAGCCAAAGTTGGACCACTATGCTTGTCTAATTGACCTACTTGGTCGAGCTGGACTGTTAGCTGAAGTAGAGAAGTTGATAGATGATATACCAAGGAAAGGTGGTGAAAACATTGTGCCACTTTATGGTTCCTTGCTTAGTGCTTGCAGGACCTATGGCAATGTTGAGATGGGAGAACGGATGGCTCGACGGCTAGTAGAAATTGAATCAAGTGATTCCAGTATTCATACACTTCTGGCCAACATCTATGCCTCTGCTGATAGATGGGAAAGTGTAACAAAGGTTAGAGCAAATATGAAAGATCTTGGAGTCAGAAAGGTGCCTGGCTGTAGCTCAATCAAAGTGAATGGTGAAATAACTTGAAAATGAAACAGTCTCTTGAGCATATACAGCCTCAATAGGGGATTGCATTGGCATTTCTGGAATTTCCGGAAGTTGCTTAATGCTATTTTTTGCTTAGCTAGGGAAGAAGCATGAATGGATTCTTAAAATATTTGCTAGTAGAGGAATCAAGTTGCTTTTACATCAAATTTTGCAAGAAGAGGCAATTGAACTGCTGGTTGGGTATCTTGTTCAAGCAGGTTTTCAGTATTCTGAGCAAGTTGCAACATTTCTTCGGTGACAAAGGAGAAAATAAATGTTAAGCACACTTAAATTTGTTCAAAGAGGAGTCTATGGAGGCCGCCACATCATCCAACAAGGTTGGATCCAACAGAATCATTTCATGATCTTGTTAAAATTTTGTATCAGATATAGAAGTTAGTTATCACCTCAATATTACAAAAAATTATGAGTTTACATTTGTCAATTAACTCTGTGCAGACAATTGCATATTGTTCATATTCTTAAGACTATCTCTTTATCCCCTTTATTTAAAAATTTTAAAAGAGTCAAATTTCCTTCTCTCATTCAGTTTACTTCTTAAATGGACAAGTATGGAAAACTGGGTTTTCCAGCATGTGAGTTTTGACTGAAATCTGAAAACTATTGTTTAACGAGTACCATTTGGGTCTAGTATTAACAGGGAAATCTATATTGAAAACATATTTTTGTTAGGACCTTTTGCAAATATCATAAGAGTTCATGGCATATCTTATTGTTTGCTTATGAATTTTTTTTTTCAGGGTTATATACTTATACTCATTGAATTGCTAATATTCATGGATCTCTTAACAATTACTGGCCTTTCGAAGCAGGTATCTTTCTCCTTTCTGCTAATATGAATTTTAAGATAAGTTTTGTAGTTGCAATTTCTTTAGTAATATTTGTACTTTAGTCTTTGAAATTAATTCTCTGCAATTGATAATAGCTATATGGCACTAGGATTCATCTACATAGCTTACCTTTGTTGTTTATTTCTAAACAATTGTATTGCCTAGGTCTAATACATTCCTGTTTTATCTTGCTTCATGATTTCAAGGCCGATGCCCTAGTATAATGGGGAATTCATTAAAAAAGTACTTTCGCCGGCATGGCCTGCTAGGATTGGCCACCCTGATAAGGTCTTGCTAGATGGAAATTAACTCAATTTTTAAGCTCCATTTGAGTTGCAGTCTTGCTGGGTTTAGTATTCCCATTGCAACAATATAATATCCCTTCCACCTTGCAATGACGTAATAAGTTCAATTTGAAGTGATTATTACTTGTGAATTTTTAATCTTTGGGCCCCATCAGACTAGTAATTAATTTGCTCTATGTTTACTGGCTTGACTGATTGTATACCATAACAGCAACAGACAAGAAAACATTCTCCTCAAGAAGTGGGTTATGCTTAAGAACAAAACTCATTCTATCAAACACAAACTGCAATAATATTATTTAATTTCTCCCACTACTACCTAAACAAAGTTCTTGAGTTAGTTAATAATATAGTGACGACCACCTATCCTTATCATAAACATAATAACATGATTAGAATTTGTTGCTGGTTGCTAAAGTAACAATGTAGATGATCCTTATAAACCCACCAGCATAAGGTGCTTTAAATCTGCCCATTGGGGCCACTCATGTATATACTGATAGACATTAAATTACTCCATAATAGAACTGAAAAAATTTTGGGGTACCCCATGATTAGGGTTTTGATGCTGTTAAGAATGAATGGCATAATGACTAGCTAATTATCTATTCATGCTGCTGGAGCATAATCATAGCTGCCATCATCATCATTATTATCACTCTCAAGAGATGCTGCAGGGGCATAGTCATAGTCTCCATCATCACCATTTCCTTCTACGCATGCTGCTGGAGCATAGTCATATCCATCATCGCTATCATTGTCTCCATCTGCATGCTTCTTGTACCATGAGGCAACAACCATGGAAATAGGCGACATTTTCATTCTACTGCTTCTAGAGCAAAGGAGGAATAAGAATTAAAAATGTGACTGGAACTTTGATTTATTTCCAAGGTCTTTGACCTGCAGAATAACAAAATGAATGGAGCTCGTCAGCTGGTCTAACTGTGGATTGTTTTGTGATTGAATTAGTAAATCCGTAACCTGTTTTGAGTTTGAAGGGATGTCAGAAGTGATTATATAGACAGTGATCTTAGAAGAGATGATGGATGGCCTCTTTCTGCCACAAGGCAAGCACGTGAGGAGTGTGGAATAAAGATCAAAGGTTGTGCTGCCTTGTGCAAAGACCAAATGCGGAGCCTAGGTAGGGATACATGGTCCAGCCACCTAAGCTGACAATTCAGCCTTTGAGGTATAGTAAAGCCATCTTTGGTTGGGTGTACACATGTGTCAAGTTTAAGATCTTTTGGCTAGTGGCCATACACACTGAAAAATCATGTGGCTGATTTCGCATCATATGTTTTACAGTGAGGCTTATTATCTTCTGCATGTGGTTGGAACTAGCCAAATAGTGGTGGCATCATCATGGAAACTCCTTGGCGTCCATCAGTGATCACATTTTTCTCAACATTTTCAGTTGGACGACAGATTAATGTCTCCCCTCGAAATATATGCACAATATTTTTGTAGTAGTTGCAAGCTACGGTCTTCATACTGGAAAGTAAGCGTTGGATACTGTATAAAAAAACGTATAAAACATAAGAAACTGTTATACGTTATAGTATAATATATTTGTCCAATAACATCTCAGTAGCATATGAATTATATTATCATCAGTGTGACCTTATTTTCACACTTTATTTTTTTTACACAAATTAATCAAATTTAATCACTTAGATTTAAAAGTTGACTTATTCACACGCTAAATAAATTAAAACATACGTAAAAGTAGATATTAATTAACAATTAAATAATTAGGATTGCATAAGCAGTCTTGTTGAAGTCATTAATCAAAGTGATTGGAAAATATCTTTGCTGGTGAGTTGATTAATTTCTTTGACCTTTCTTTTGACTCTACGATTTTAGAGGATAAAGGTCCATCCATAGATTAATAGTCGATCCTCAACACGTGCAAATTCTTCTCCTCTTATTTTTTCTAAATTTTTATTTCTTTTATAAAAATAAAAAAAATCCTTATCTGTATTCGCATTATAAAAATTAGTCCCAACGTGACATAAGATTAAGATTACCTCATGCATGCTACATAAAAACCCTTGTTAATTAGGTAGGACTAAATAAAGTGACCTTAATTATAGTATTAATAAAAAAACAACATCAAAAACACACCATAGACAATGGAGCAAGCAAGATTACTGCACTACTACGTACTAACTAGGGTTTTAGAGCACTCTAAGACTAGCTAGGATTTTGATAAGATGTTAATAATCCCTAAGCTGCCGCAGCAAAATCATAACTATTACCGTCATCATCATTCCCGTCACCATCGGCTGATGCGGCTGGAGCATGACCATAGCCGCTATGGCCTTTGGCCATTGACTTTGAGTTAGAACGTGTATCCAAGATAACGAACTTTATCATCATCATCATCGTCATCATGCATGGTCATGCTCATGTTTGAGCAGCTTCTAAACCTTTTAATATTATTGGAAGATACATGTGTTTACTCTTCTTCTTCTTCTTCTTCTTAGACTTGAAGTTGAAGGGGCAGTGATGACTTAGGAAGGAGATTTTAATTTGGTTTGCTTGAGGGGGATCGAGAGGATTATATATAGAGAGAAAACATGAGGCATGCCCCGTGGGGGTTCATGTAAGAAGATATTTGGAGCGTGTGAAGCTTGTGACGAAAGTGCCACGTAAAATCCTAGGTGGCTTCGTAGCAAAAACAAGTTTACATTAATACGAAGAATATGTAATGAATAAATGCAACAAAATGGTTTATTCTGTCTGGTTTTTTTTTTTTTTTTTTTTTTATTTAAGTGGAAGCTACTTGATGTCTTTATTCGTCGGGAACGTGGAGGAAAAAGGTTATATGTTGGGTAGAGCATAATAATAGATTTGGAAATTTCTTTTGCATTCACTTGTAATATATAAAAAAACTAATAATGAATTTATCAATTTAGTCGATAAAAAATGTGTTTATAAAAAAATTTTTATGCGAAGAAAATTTTTCTTTTAAAATTTTTTATTTTCTAATATTTAGATGTCCATAAAAATTTTAGAGGTATCCCTCAAAAGCTAAATCCACCCTACCAGTGCACATTAAAATCTCAAGGATATTTATACATGAAAAGTCCTTTATTATTATTATTATTATTTTTTTGGCCTCAGTCCTTTATTACTTTTGTTGTGTCTTTCCAGCCAAGTTGTCCCTTTTCTAAATTTGAAATCTTGGCAAATCTCTTGCTTGGAAAATCAGCTTAATTGAATGAGAGTAGTTTAATTAGTTTATATTTGTGATTCTGCCCATCTTATACTAGGGTTTATATATATATATATATATATATATTTGCAGCAGCTGATTTATAAGACTCCTGACCTGGAGAAACCCAGGTATCTGATACTGAAGAGGACTGTAAACTATGAGGTTGTATTATTCTTCTTTTCCTTTGTTTTTTCTTCTGATTTTTGGAATAAAATCTGTTCTGCTTCCATGAACATTTGGTCTTCCTGGTATATATGCAATTGTGATTGTATTAGTATGCCCAAGACAAAATGTTTTACACAATGATGGTGTGCTGGCTTCTGGGCCTAGATAAATAAACTCATTCCCTTCTGGTTTTATAACAATAAAGGCATAAATAACCCTATAATTGGAAAAACATGAAAGAAAAAGGGGAAAACAAACTAATTATTGGTAAGCTTTACTCATTATCAAGTAGGATCATTACAGAAAACTTGTATCAATGATCTACCATCAATTACTCTGCTTCTGAATTCTGTTTGTAATGTGTCTTCATTTATCTCAATGGAGAGAGAACAATGGGATTTTACTCATATGGAATTTGTATAATTTTATATATTTTCTTGTCCTTTCATGCTAATGTCATCAGTTTGTATTGGGGAATTTTCCGTATGAAGTGAATTTCTGCACTTTATACACAGAATATCTTATTACTCAGAAGAATGACTCTTTGACTAGTGTTTCGTGTGGCATTTTTTGAGCATATGTAATTTGTTTGAATGTCTGGTAACTTTGTGAGTAACAATTAGATGTTAGTCAGGTAAGGAAATAGACACCATTCATAGTGGTAGAAACAAATGGAGACAAGCTGTCAGGTCAACTGGCTTTAATGCTGTTGCTGGGTAAGTCTTCTGGAAAATCCAATTCAGTATGTTGGTTTCAGTTCTAAGTTTTCCTTTTTCCTTCTCACCTGACATAGTTTATGGATTCCATTGGCGTAGGTATATCTTTGGTAAGAATTCTACAATGAAGAAGATACCAATGACTACTCATGTCTTTACCCAGGCACTTGAACCTGAATTGTCTGAGGTATCCATCCAAATAGTTCTTCTATTGGAGAAAGATATAAGCTGGTGAGGCCTATCAGTCTTGTTGGGGTCGGAGATATCAAACAGTCTCATATTTCCAAACTGGATAGCGACAACGATAACTTTTTTTAGTACTTTTATGCTTTGTTTTAGCAAGGATAACTGACAGTTTTTTGTACTTCAACAGTCTACCAGATCCTAGTTAAGCAACAGTTAACTTGAGAAAGGTGGAAGGAGGGATTGCTGCAGCAATGAAGTTCAGTGGAAAACCTACTGAGGATGTTGTTCATGGAAAGAGAAAGCATTGCCCTCTAGTCCTATTAGAGACGGTCTTAAACAGAAGATGGGTTGTTTGCTTGCCCGATACAACGTTCCAGGACGAACATGGAAATTTACAATGGTATGATTTGGATTTTCTCAACAATTATGATTCTTAAGCATTCTTTTTCTTAAGGGCAAAATTATCTTTATTGAAGAAATATAGAAACAAAGTACCATTACAATATCACCCAAAGATAGTACTCTACATGAGCATAAACCCCCAAAACAAGACGCCCCAAAAGGGATTTTACTTCTGGGGATTGTGAAGTTCACCTTTGGCAATTTTGTTCCATCACCTAAATATTGATCATAACAGCTGTTGTTGGCTTAACTGATATATTGGTAAATGCATAGCTCAATTTTGTGCACATATATACGCAGCCTCAACCTGTCAAATGGGAATGTTATGAATCTGTAATTGCTCTGAAGGCAACACATATTTTCATTAATGTGAAAAATATGGAAATATAGGTATCAAAGGCATTGAAAAAAGTGCATGGTTTCATCTGATTAGTTTGTTTCCTCGAATAAAAACTCACTAGAGGTGATATTTACCAACTTAGATCATTATCGAAATTCAGAAAATATGGAGTCAAATTCCATATAGCTGCTAAATTTAGCCATAAATTTTCCTTTCTTGGAGAAGCAGTATGCCATGCTTTGTAAGCAGCTTTGTTCTGATTGCTTCTTCATCTTAGTTATTGACTCCATTTCTACTTTCTTTCTATGGGTGATTGCATCGAAGAGAAATGAAGTGCTAATTTGGCTTGAGGAGTTCACTTTGGATTAACAACATCACTCCCTGCAGATCATTGTTCCCGACCTTGAATTGACCATGACATTTTCTTGGAAGTTGTAACTAAGGAAAGAGCAAGGCATTCCCTGAAAGAATTTTTGGTTACCTGAGAAACTTGCAGTGTAAAAAGCATTTTGTTCTTGCAAAAGGTCATGGATATCTAGCTAATTAAATTATAAAAAAAATGAAAATTGTATAAATCTGAGCACTCTCAACAGTCAATACCAGAAGACAGTTGATATCAAACCAAACAGCAGTATGCATTCTCCGGCTGCAAAGCCTTTTCTTTATGTTACAATATGCAGAAGTTGGAATTGCGGGCAAAACCAGTGAGACTTTTTGTGAAGTTTTCAGCATGCAAACTGAAAAGCTTAAGTTATATAATTTTTTTTTATGTAGTTTGAAAATAAAGAAAATGATTGAGGTACTAAGATTTAAATATCGGACTTTCTAAATATTATTTTTTTAAAATAATTATATAAATTAATTAAATAAGTAAATTCGAGGTTCAAAGTTATATTTCCTAATGGTCCAAATTTGCTAAGTTCCATGTGGACAATTTGTTACGTTTCTACCAGAATTGCTAATGAGCCATTGTGTCATGGATGAAAATCATACCTTAAAGTATGCGTTAATAAGATGAAGTATGTTTTCATTCAGTCACGACGACAACAGCTAGGCATGGACCCATTGAGAATATTACAGCGATGTTGCAAGGAGACACAGAAGAAATTCATGTGACTTCCAGTTGGTAACCAACTAACCACGTGATACGGAAAGTGCCATCGCTTTTGCTCCAAGGCAGTGTTAAATGAGCTTTACTTCATGACTTTTGCCCTTGATGGAGCAGGAAGAAAGGTTTTTCTACCTTGACATCAACCAGTTCAATCTTCAGATTGTCACTGTTTTTGGTAAAAATCAAACGGTTCACTCAGTTCGATTAGCTGAACTTGGAACCCAGTGGTCCATATGAATTACTCCCTCTGTCTTTTTTTTTTTAATCTTAAAATTATATCTTTTTTTAATATTTTAAAATTATTTTTTATGAATTTTATTTTTTAACATTAAAAATTATTAAACTTTAATTTTATAAAAATAATTTTAAATTTTAATATTAAATGCACTAAAATTAATTTATTTTAAACTCCATAAAAATTAATATAAATATTTTAAGAAATAAAATCTACTCATATAAAAAAATTTGGCATTTACTATTTGACAGCTCAAATATGTACTTTCTACTTTTCTAATAAATTTTTCTAGAAGACTTGCACAGTTGTATTAACACAAAAAAGAGAAATTTTTTAATTCAACTTTAAATTTTTTTCCTTGCTTTTCTTTTCCCACTCTTTATAAAAGAGACAGGAAGAAAAAATCTGGAAGCAACTGGGTGAAACCAAAGCGGAGCCGTCTAATTTATAAAGCGGTAACGTTTTTCTCGCCGTGAACACCTAGAGAGAAACGGTCAAACGTTTCCAAACCTACAGACGGCGCCGCCTCTTCAAGAAAACGCGTCTATTACACCACCTTCTTCGTTTCGTTTCCTCATCATTTTCCCATTTCTCTTCATTTTTTTTCCATTTTTGCAGAGACAATTTTCTTTTTTAATTATATTTTATTATAGTAGATTCCTTTCAAATTTATTAATATCCGTTGATCTCTCTTCTCTTTTTGACGCACTTACGCGCCTCGTATTTTATTTATTGGTTTTTTTAGTATTTCTTTCTCTTCTTCTTTGTCTCCGTGGCCTTTCTTGAATAGATTCAAGTGACCTTCGGTGGCTTCCGGGGATCAAGGTGAGTTTTTTTTTTTTTTTTATCTGGGTTTTTGTTATTAATTTATATTTATAGTTGCTTTTGTTTTGTTCCGGTGTGAATTGTGGTCTGGGTGTTCTTTGTATGGTCTTTTCTCTTGCTAATTGGTCTGAATTTTTGGGAAGGTTGTTTTTTTTTATGCAAATGCTGATTTTTATGTTTTCTCTACTATCAGTTCTCACAAACTATGTACAATTCATGAATTTGATATGAAAGTCTGATCTGGGTTTGCAAAATCCTTGTTAGATTTGATCTGTAAAACTTCATTTAAAAAAAAAAAAAATTTATGGTGACAGAAATGGGGAAAAGGAGTAACTTGATTTTTCTTTGGCAATGCATGTTCTTTATCATTCTGAAATTAGGGTTTTAAGCTTGTTAGGGCCTAGACAGCCATAAAGTTTGTCTCTTAAAATGGGATAAAATCAATAAGTAGGTAATATTTTAAAAGAAGAGAAAATAAAAAAGGAAAGACCATGTAGAAATATCTGGTTCAACTTTACCTTTGAAAAGCCTACTTATTTTTAAAAATTTATCTTTTATTCTGACTCTTTTTTGGCATTTGATCTAATTCAATGAGTTAAATCTTTTCCAGGGAAAAGATGGCTGAACCAAAACCAGAACAACCTTTGATCCCATCATCATCTAGGAACCTACCTGATTTTAAGAAATCGGTTAAGCTAAAATATGTGAAGCTTGGATACCATTACCTAATCACCCATGGAATGTACCTCTTCCTTACCCCTCTTGTAGTTGTAATCGCTGCCCAGCTCTCAATATTTTCCATCCAGGATCTTTATGATCTTTGGGAGCATCTTCAATACAACCTCATATCTGTTATCATCTGCTCAACCCTTCTTGTTTTCTTGTCAACTCTCTACTTTCTAACCCGCCCTCGTCCTGTTTACCTCGTCAACTTTGCTTGCTACAAACCGGATGAATCTCGGAAATGCACAAAAAGGATCTTCATGGATCAGTCTCGAATGGCTGGTACATTCACAGAGGAGAATCTTCAGTTTCAGCGTAAGATTCTTGAAAGGTCAGGACTTGGGGATTCAACATATCTTCCTGAGGCTGTCCTCAATATTCCCCCTAACCCATCAATGCAGGAAGCTAGAAAAGAAGCAGAGGCTGTTATGTTTGGTGCTATTGATGAGCTTTTGGCTAAGACCTCCGTAAAACCCAAAGACATTGGAATTTTGATTGTGAACTGCAGCTTGTTTAATCCAACACCCTCATTGTCTGCCATGGTTATCAACCATTACAAGCTTCGAGGGAATATTCAAAGCTACAATTTGGGAGGAATGGGCTGTAGTGCAGGTTTGATCTCCATCGATCTTGCAAAACATCTTCTCCAAGTCCATCCCAACTCCTATGCACTGGTTATCAGCATGGAGAACATCACCTTGAACTGGTACTTTGGAAATGATCGCTCAAAACTTGTTTCAAACTGTTTATTTAGAATGGGAGGGGCTGCAATACTGCTCTCTAACAAATGCTCTGACAGAAGAAGATCCAAATACCAATTGGTTCACACTGTTCGCACTCACAAGGGTGCGGATGATAAGTGCTTTGCCTGTGTTACCCAGGAAGAAGACTCCATAGGGAAGGTTGGTGTTACATTGTCAAAGGATCTCATGGCAGTTGCTGGTGATGCATTAAAGACCAACATCACCACATTGGGCCCTCTGGTTCTTCCAATGTCTGAGCAGCTGCTTTTCTTTGCTACATTGGTTGGGAAGAAGCTTTTCAAAATGAAGGTCAAGCCATACATTCCGGATTTCAAGCTAGCTTTTGAGCATTTCTGCATTCATGCTGGAGGAAGAGCTGTTCTGGATGAACTGGAGAAGAATTTGCAGCTGTCTGAATGGCACATGGAACCATCAAGAATGACTCTTTACCGATTTGGCAACACCTCAAGCAGCTCTCTTTGGTATGAATTGGCTTATTCAGAAGCTAAGGGTAGGATTAGGAAGGGGGACAGAACTTGGCAAATAGCATTTGGTTCAGGATTCAAGTGTAACAGTGCGGTGTGGAAAGCTTTGACGACGGTAAATCCAGCAAAGGAGAAAAACCCTTGGATGGATGAAATCCATAAATTCCCGGTTGATGTTCCAAGAATCTCGTCCATCTAAATTCCAGAATGACTTGCTGCCCTTGTGGTAAAATTTTCGTGAAATGCTATCTCTCTTCCGAGATTCATCCCTGCTTTTGCATAACAGGATGATTGGTAGTTTTAGCATTGGGTGCATGACATCTTGCATTTGGTTATCTAGTTTTAAGTTATTTCATGCGTGAAGCTTGAGTGGGATTAGTCATGGTTTAACCAATTTGGGGAACACATTGATTTGAGGGTGTTTACGGGAACATTAGTGCATTTTTTACTGAGATCACTGCATGAGATTGAGTGGCTTAGCTATGTCTTAAGATCTCATCATATGATCGACAGATTTGAATTGGGATTGGAAGCATTGTAGACTGATGTTTGTGATTTCTATGGATTTTACTACCATCAATTTGCTACTAATGACAGTGTTATGAAAGTAGCTACCTGTTTAATCAGTTGAAGAGGCAAACACATGCCTCAGAAAGTAAAGAGGGTTTCTCTGTCTCACATTCGAAAATGGTTGTTAAATTTTTCAGGACCTGTGCAATAAATTGACAACCATATGTTATATTCGTTAACATATATAACATCAATAACCTTAAAGCTAGTCATATATGTTAACCACGTAACAGCCACCAGGTCAGTCAGTCTGCTAAATAATGCCAATATCGACGGCATACCTCAGGAAAGGCAAAGAAAAGACCAAAAACAATCCCAGTCCAGCAGCTAAAGAAGGATCAGGCCTAAGTTTCAACACATTAATTGAACACATAAATGCATAGATTAACTGTCATAGCAGAACCTAATAAATCCATGGCTTTAAGTCTCAAGCTCACAGCAACGAAGTGCAGCTCAGATTGAGACTAGGGAAATCTCTACAAGCAATAACACATTATAGTCTAGTCCTTGGATGACTTGTTGACGAGTGACTTGTCGAGATGAGGGATCACACCACCGTCAGCAATGGTTCCCTTAAGATCCTTGCTTGTATTTGCGGCAAATATTCTAGAATAGCAGCAGAATAAACTGCAGCAGTGGCTCCTACTCTCCCATGTGCCGTGGTCCTTGAGTTTGGTAGACGATGGATCCGACCCACTGAAAACTGCAGGTTACATATTATACAAAAAATTCATAGATGAAGGAAAACAGAATAGCATAGGAAACTCCAGCCTCTAGTGATGTCCAAATTGGTGATTTACGAACAACAATTTGCAGAAGTGATTCTAATCAATCAGAACAGAAAGAGTTATTACTCTAGAACAATTGGCTTAACAATAAACCAATTCAGGTCCCTAAGATTCAGAGTAGACCAAGAGCAACATAGAATTACCAAAGCAAGAGCACGTGCAATTCTTTTAAGCCAGACATAATAGGAGAAACACCGAAGACAAAAGCAACTATAGGCCTTCTTAACAATTAAGAGCCACTTGGAACAAGAGAACAACGTTTTGAAACGCGGAGATTTATGTGACCTGGCAGTCCGAGCATCCGAATTCGGTCTCCATGCCATAACAGCAAAACTTTATTGTGGCCCATTCAATCACTAGAGATGCACCAGTTATTAGAGGCCAGTCCAGTTTTAAACTACCGCAAAATGTAATTGTTAGACAGAGTAAAATCAAGATATAGCCACAGGCCACAGGATTTAAGGTCCATTCATGTGCTCCAGGCATCTTGGATATCACAGACAAATAATAGAAAGCAATATTACTTGGCTCTGGCTGCCACTCCTTTATATGACTCCATTGAAAGAGAGGGATACTCATTAAAAGGTACTAGTAGAAGCCATCCTATCGACTATCCTCGAGTATGAAAACTGAAAAAGAACAGTGGGGAACTGAGTCATCAACACTTTAATTCCTTATCTTTTATCAAATGACTATCAGGTCCCACCGTTCTCAGATAAACTCCGCAAGTTTTAGAGGCTAGAATCGTATCCATAAACAAGAGGGTAAAAAAAACCCCAATAACGAAAATAAAAATAAAAATCAAAGAAAAAGGGAACTGAAAGGAAAAGCAAACGAAATATCTACCAGGAGGCCCGCTCGACAAGAATGAGAGATGGGTTTTTTCTTCTCTTTGTCCTTGTTGGCAGCCGAGGCTTTGCCCATAATCAAACCTTTCGCATCTTTCCCGCCAAAAAAAAAAAAACCCAAGATATTAGAGTTAAAAAAAAAAAAGAAAGGAACAGAGAGATTTTTTGTGGGTAAACGATGGATGACAATGGGAAACAGAAAGCACTAGTTAGAAGAAAGATTACCTGGGAACCGAAGTGGTTCCTTTACTGAAGTAAACTACTGTTTCTATAAAATTACTATAGTGATAAATCTTATTTTATTAGTATATTTAACTGATTTATTTCATTTAATTGATGTTTTTCCTTTTTTTTTTTAGAATTATTAATGTTTACTTTAGCCACTGTAATTTGTAACATTGCACGTTCTGTTCAGAGAAAATATCATCCACCATGCACAACACTCTCTTGCATAAAATGCCGAGAGTGAAGCATTATACCTTTTAGAAAACATATTGGTACAGTCTACAAATGTTAAATGCACCAAAGACTATAAATTATACAAAAATAATAATAATAATAATAAAATTGGGGATCTAGTCTATCTATCTCTGATAAGGAAAAACTATCTTGAAGATAATGGCTTTATGCCTGCAGAGACAAAGCTCGAAATCATCATCACCCTTGTTACTCCTTCCCTTCTTCTTTCTCTTTAGTCTTGCTCTCTTCTGCAATATGGAAGCCGCCCTCAATCTTGCGCGAAACCTCCTCCGCAGATACCTTCACCTTTCCAACTGACCCATTTGCTGCAAAGGATTCAGTGTCATCATGAGTCAGAGGGCCTGTCTGCCATATTCTAATGGTTCCATCCTCGGATCCTGAGGCATATGATTCCCCTCCTGGTGAGAACCGCACGCAGTGTACAGGACCATGGTGACCCTTATTGCATGCTGCACATCAGATGCAAATCAGTAATTAAGGGAAGATATAAGTTACCATAAAGAATCAGAAACAAAAAATGCAAGCTCACATATAATATTAGAATTCAAGCACCAAGTCTACCGAACAAACTACAGCCACATATTTTCTAGCATTTAGGAATTAAGGGTAGTATCACATATCATATTTGAATTCCAGCATCAATTCATGCACTAATCAAACATTCCATTGTCAAAGTCCAGTCCAATTTATGTTTATGAACATACTTATCTCATCCCCAGTGTGGAAATCAAAAACACGAACCCACATATCTTCTCCTCCGGCAATGAATTTATTTCCATACTTCGGTTCCAATGAGGCTGATTCAACCATGCATGGCATGTTGTAGCTCTTTACCAACCCAAAGCTGAAGTAAAGGTAGGATATAGTAACAATAAAAGCAGAAATTCTGGCACAAAAATCAGACAAATCTGGCTCAAAAGTCAGAACTTACTGGTTTGCATCCCAGAACTTAACCGTAGATCCATCTGCAGTTGTGATATATCGACCATCTAGACTCACTTCAGCACTGGTTACAGATGACTTGGTCTCTAGTGTTTGAATTATTTTACCACTCCTTACATCCCATAACCTATACGGTCACTAAGAAATTCAGTAATAGGAGAGACAGAGAAGCCATAAAAGACCAAGACAAGCATTAGACTAGGTTAATAACAGCTATAAACTTGACATAGTTATATACACTGTCAAAAGAAATGCTTTAAATTAAGTAAAAAATTATTAAATCAACAAGCAGGCAAGCATCTGAACTACAACCACTCATCCATCAAGTGCCATTCTGCTTTCTCCCTCCCTCTGGGATAAGCAGGAGGAAAATTTACAAATAAAAAAACCTTGTCCCACTGAAATTCATGCGTTCATGGTTTTGATCTCAAAACCTCCAGAGTGTCATCGTAACAGAAATTGGGGAAAAAAAAATATTGCAGTAATCCAAATATCCAATGCAATTTTTACAGCAAGACAACAGCCATCCGCGCATATAATAGGAATCAATAATAAAAAATATCTAGCAAAATTCTTGCTTTTAAAGACTGATGAACCACAAATGTTACAGAAATTACATGAGAGAACCTCCAAACACGGAGGAAGATGGATACCTGACACCTCCCATATCAGTACAAGAACTTAATATTGTCTGATCACTATGCATCCACGCAACAGTTCTGATTGAACCCGGAGATTTGTCCACTTCTCTTGGAGGTGCATCTGAACAATTCAAATCATAAATACGGAGGATTTTTTCGACTCCCCCAGTTAATAGAAGGTGCGTATCCTGTTTCCAAATCAGAAAACCTTGAATGAGATGAAACCATACTAATAATTAGGGGTACTTGGCCAAGAGAAAAATAATTAGGGCACAATGAAGCCAACCATTCCATAACAGAATTTTACTGAAGATGAGTAAAATACCTTTTAATACAAACTGCAAATATTGCTATTTGCAGATAACATAGAACAATACAATAATTAGCTTTAAAACAATCCCAAGTTTCACCATGGCTCCAATGACTTTGTATTTTGACAAAATTGCACTTACATAAATTCAGAATTTTTTTATTTATGGTTTTCCATACTATGATGATAGTATCAAACCTTATGACTTTATAAGTGGAAAAAAAGTCCATAATAGCAGAGCAGGTAGAGGTTCCTTTGTGTTGGGCAGAAAGCTAAAAATGTGATTCAATAACCCATCCTGGTTGTTAGCATCTTGTAAGTTGTAATAATTTCCTTCCAAGAAAAACAAAAGGATCAAAAAGATTATGATAGTTGTGACAACCATCCTTTACAAGTTGACCAGGTGTTCAAAAATCAAAACCAAAACATGGTTAACACTTCTCTGTCGATGCAATGAAAGAAAATAAAGATCAAGAGAAGCCACCGAAGAACTAAATTGTTTTATTGCTAGCTTGGATTTAGAAATAGGCATTACTACTCACAAATTGCAAGAGTTTGGCAGAAGTAGTTGAAATTACTTTCCATATATTAATAATGAGGACCAAAGTAACCTATAAAGCTGTTCAACAACCCACATAGTTTGTCATATAACTATCCTTTTATCAAAAGATTGATGATTCACAAAACTGCATAAGCTGTTATACATTTCAAAAACGTATCTTTCTTTCATTTTCCCTGCCATATTCCACCTTATATACACTCCCCTAAAAATACAATTTATTCTCCTAAGTGAAAGTTTATACAAAACGAAAACAACCACTTTACCTCTGAAAAAGCACAGGCTCGAACTATATGCTTGTGTTCAAATGAGTGCAATTCATCACCTGTTAGCGCATCCCACACTTTCCTGCACAAAAAAAGGAAAAAAGCATTTCACAGGATACGTCAAGTAAATAGATATATGTCAAATAACCCTGTTCAGAACAGCAGATGAAATAAATAGATACCACTCCAGTTACAAGATCTCAATTCAAACTACTGCAGCAGGAGATTGAAGCGTGCACAATAATCAAGAGCTAGCAAACCTATGCAAAGAATATTGTCCACTTTTAAGTGATAGAATATGTTATTTGAGATTCAACGAAGCAACAGTAAATAGAAACTTGTATAGAATGATGCAATTGGGCACACTGTAGTGACATAGAGTCTCTCCGTAGTGTAAACATATAAGAATTTTCCACAGAACTCTTGAGGTGCTCCAAGACATTTCGTATTAAAAACACAACTTGCATATATAAGAACTACGAAAACAAAAAACAAAAATAATTAAACAGCTTTCAGAATACAATAACAACATATTGTGAGAGAAGGGGATCAAAAGCGAATCACATACGCAGTAAAGTCAGCAGAACCGGATGCAGCACGTAAAGCATTTGTATCCAAGCAAACACTCCACACTGCACCCTTGTGTCCTTCAAACGTTCCTATCCAATCTCCAGTCTCTCCATTCCTCAGCATGGGACTGGAATCTGAACCAGACAAGCAAAGCCCCATTTTTATGAGCATGAGATTAATATTAAAATATCCCTCGACAGAAGTGCATATCTCTCATAGTTCTATGAAGAATTGCCATCTTAAGTCTTAACATTTATAACATATAAATTATAACCACCATTTATACACATATAAAGGCCTATATAATGAAACCAAATCAAATCAATCAAATATAGACTAAAGATTAGCCTAAAAATAGATTTAAAAAAGCGAATTTAAGATAACCGACTACTTAAATAAAAACCCCATTTCCAGATACAATAAATAAACAACAAATCATAAAGCATTTAACAGAAAAAATAATAGCCTGAGACCAACTAAGTAGTAATTACCTTTGCTGGCACTAACAAGAAAAAAGCCATCCGGAGTAACAGGACTGTAAAAGAGATCCACGACGGGACGTGAATGGCCATGGCATACAAGTGGGACAGCAATCCTTTTCTTATCCATTTCTTTTTTCACTTACAAATAAAGTGCAAACTAATCTCCAAACAAAACAAGAAACAACCTTAAAATCCTTACAAATCTACACAAACCCAAAGAATTAAAAAAAAAAAACTTGGGTTTCTTTTTCTTTATGAGATTGGGATCAGAATGTACAGACAGAGAGAGATATTAGCAGTAGATGAAAAAAAAAAAAAAAAACCGGCGGGAGTTTAATACAGGTGGGAAGACGCTTTGATCAGTGAGATTTGGGATTTGATTGCGTAAATACACACCTCCTAACCCTGGGCTCTGATCAAGATGATGATGATGATGATGCTAAAATGTTAGAGAAAATAAGAAAAAAAAAAAAAAAAACTATTGTTTTACAGAAGTCAGACACACAGAGCAACGAAAATCACCGGGCAAGGCACGAGGAGAAACTTGCTATCGATCCTCTCTTATATAGAAGGCTGACTTTGGGCCTTCTTTTCCCACTTTCTTTGTCGTTTTAGAAGTAAAATTTTAAGAGGAAATTGGGCTAGCCCAACAAGGCTTTAGCCCAATCCAAAAAGGCAAAGGATTTCTTTTGGGTATCATTGTGAATTTGTGATAGCGGAAGGAAAATTATTATGACTTACATTTAATGCGTATATAAATGTAAATTGCATAATTATATCTCATAAAAGATAAATTTTAAAATTATAAAATGCATTGATTTTTTTACTTAAATGATAATATTTAAAAAGTGAAGTATATTTGCTTTTAAAATTTTAAAATTTATCTTCTATAAAATGTTATTGAATTATTCACTAATTATGTATACATTGATAGTTCATGAACTATAAATTCAATCACTATTATAATTTTTAGGTTTTCTAAGCAAATTATAAACTCCATTTTCTTCTTAGATGAACTTTTTTTAGAAAAAAAAGGTTCTCTCCGCTACTTAAAAAGTAATGAAAAATTCTATTAATTTAACTAATGGATAATAATACACATTCAACTAGATTCATGATTGAAATTTAATTATTTAAATTAAATATGAAATTAAAAAAAAAATTAATTAAAAATATAAAAATGATTTAAACAAAGGGAATTTTATTTACACTCCATTTATTACTATATACACCCCATTTCTAAATATACCTCAAATTCAAAACTTTATTTTTTATTTCTACTAGATACACTTTATTTCTCACTTTTTATTTTTCATTTATACCATTTATCTCTTCTTCTCTCTTCACGTTTTAAAATCGAGTTTATCATAAATGAATATCTGAAAAGTTTTGAGGTTTTTTAAATATTCATTTCCAATACGACTCAAAGGTTCTCGGATATCCATTTTCAAGAAGTCTTGAGTGTTATTGAAAATAAATGTTCAAAAAAATTTGAGATTTTTCGGATATCTATTTTCAATAGGCTTAGTTTCACTTTAATCATTAAAAACCTTAATCATGTGTTTATGAACTCATTTACTTAATCATGTATGTGAATGAAACTGAAATCGATGTTTTCAACATTTGTGGCATCAACTTGTTATTTCTTTTGAAACTCTAGAAAATCAAGAACACTATTTTCTTGTTTTTTGGTTTCTGGTTTTGCATGAGCAAAATAAAGTTCTTGATTATCTGAGCTTAGAATAAAAACATTTTTATGCTCATGCATACTTGAAAACTAACATATTTTTTTCATTCACACATATGATCAAGTAAGAATCAGTATATTGATGACTCACGTGTATGCATGCATGCTAGTCTGAACTTTAACACCATATAGAACATTGATGTTGACAATGTCATCAATAAATTGACAAATCTAAATATTTCGATCATTAGACCTTACTGTTAGATTTGTCAGTCTACTAATGACATTTTTTTGTAGCCCAAAGATTACAAATCTTGATTTTTTTAATTACTAAGAGTTTATAATTAAATCTATAATTAGAAAAAATTTATATATTCTTGAAAATAAATTTTTGAGAATTATATTTTGTTCTCGATAATTAATTTTTTAGAGTTATATTACTTTCTTGAAAGTAGATTTTTTAGAACACAATATAACACTCGAAAATTTATTTTCGAGAAATACGAAGTGATTTTTGGGTGTATAAATTATTAAAAATATTTTTATCATTTATTAAAAGTTAAAATTGATATTTAATATGTAAGTATTTTTTGAAAAAATATTTGGGGCAGTATAGAAAAAATTTAACGGTATATTTAGAACACCTATTTAAACAAATATCAATTATAAATTTAAGTGAAGGTACATTATTAACCCTTATGAAAACTTCCACTATTATAGATCTTTATAAATCAATCAATGAATTCGACATTCATATCCCAATGTCTAAAAAATCACACTTAAAACCAACTAGAAATCTTATTGAGACTAAAAGAACACATTCAGTTTTCGGTCAAGATTTTATTGTATAGTTCACTATCAAATTAGAAGGGTAAAAAAAATTGCTCACTTGTCAAAGATCAAGCTCAAATTAAAGATACAGGGTACTTCTTTAGTACAAAAATGAGTAATAGTGCCTCAATATTAGCATCCTTATCATTTCCACAAACAATTCTAGTTGGACGAGTATATGCTTCTATAACCTTGAAGAAAAGATTGCCTTTCGACAAGGCTTCCATTTGCATTCATTTATTTTTATTTGCTATCATATATTATTTAAGGATATTGGCAATTGATGAGAAATGAAAAGCAAAAAAAAATAATAATAAGGGGAAAAAAAATTCATCATTTATCTAAATATGCCAACAAAAACCTTCTAAAAGAAAAATATTCAGCAACTCTCTAGCAAAGAAATATATATGTATGTATATATTCAGAAAGTCAAAAACATACCTACGAAAGGGCAGCTTAGTTCATGATATTCCAGCATAAAATGAATTAAAGAAAATCTAACTACGGAGGTGATTGTTATTTGACTAAATCAATGGTCGCTCAAAGGTAGCGAACCGTTGAAAGGCATAACATTGTGTTACATGGTCATTACCCTTTCTCTTAAAAATTGGTTTATCAGGGTGTGCAGCATCAACGTTTTTATACCCCAATGATTTTCCTTTTATGTCCGATGTGAGAATGAAGTATCCCGTCTACTCCTTCTTAGAATGCTTGGCATGACATTATACCCCATCCAACATCATGATGCCCTCGTCACAAAGGTTTGTTACTCTGTCTACCCTCTTTTTGAGGGGCTTGGCATTAGTCGAACAATTCAAGGCCTACTCTTGTCACGTGATTATTATCTTTTCTCTTCAAAATTAGCTTATTATGGTCTGCAGTGCCAATGTTTTTTATACTCTAGTGACCCTCATTTTCATATCCAATGTGAGATTAGAATACTCTACCTACTCTTTTTTAGAGCACTTAGCTAGACAATTGGACTTGGTGATAGGAAGGAGAAAGGTAGGAAACATAAGGCCTAAGAAAATAGATGATTAACAAGGATTTGTTTGAGCTTTGATTGAGATTTATGGAAGATTAAATAAGATTTTACATTTTTTAACACTTACTTTGACAACATCTTTAAAAGTAGGTGATTTTGATATTTTAGGAATTAAGAGATATTTTACTAATTTACTTTGTAATGATTTTAGTGCTTTTGTTACAACTAGCACGAATGTACCCGAAGCCAAGACTCCATCAAATAAGTCAAGAGAGCTTAGGCTTTAGGTTCATAATAGTCACAAAGATAGCTCGCACAAGCACTCATGCCTAAGGACATCACTTCTAGAACTAGAAAAATCCAAGTGCAGGCTTAGGAAAGTAATGGAAACAACAAAATTCTTTTTTTATTTAGATAAACTTTTAATTTAAAAAAATAAAAACTCAATAACTTTTTTATTTTCATTGTAATTTTCACTTTTTTAATATCTTAATTTGAGAAAAAATTAAAGAAAGGAAAGTTAACAACATTTTATTTTATAAATAGATTATTGTATTCATATTTTTATTATGACATTAGATTTGATCATATAATTGGCACTTCTTACAAATATAATTTATTCTTACGAGTATTTTATATAACATCACAGTTGTATAAATATTTTATGATTTTTCAATACTTAATAGTAAAACAAGCTAAATTATTGTCAGAATAAATTAAAAGGTTGAATTAAATACAAAATTAAGATTAAATCAATAACTAGCTAATACATCTTATTATATTAAACATGCTCAATTTTATTTAAAAATATTTATTTATACAAGTTATGTAGTATAAATATATATTTATATATTATATGTTGTTTTATTAAAAAAATGTTTTAATTGAAAAAAAATATTATAATGAATTATTTATTTTCTTTTTCACTATTTATCCAAACAATAATCATTAGAATTCTTTTCTTTTCCTCTCTTTTTATTAATTTAACTATACAAATAAGGAGTATATATACCTTTTCATTTCATTTAAAAAGCTTTCATTTCATTTCATTTTCTTTATTTATATATATCTAAACATAACGTTAGATATACAAAGACAGATTTCCAACTTAACATTGCACAATACATTGATGTAAGTTTTAGACGCATGATACTTTAACTTTTCAAGATGCTTATAACAAGATTAGTATTTTCTTTTTAAAAAAATAGATTTTGAAAGTCATTTTGATACTTTTTTCTTTTATTTTAAATTTGTTAATTCATCTACTAATTGGTAGATTTTATCTACAAAACGTACGAGCAATAGAAATACACAAAACATTATTAATCTTAAATGTTATCTCATTTTAAGTATAAGGGATTTTCAATTTGAAACTAAACGTTGATATAAATCTCAATGCATGACATTTTGATTTTTTAAAATGCTTATAACAACATTAATAATTTTTTTATTAAAAAATTTTTCAAAATGCTTATAACAATATTAGTATATTTTTATTGAAATAGATTTTGAACATCATGAAATTATAAATTCATTTGTTAATTGATAAAATTTATCTCCAAAATCCTTCAATGACACGTATTAACAATGGAAATACAAATATTATTATTTTTAATTGTTATCTCATTTTTTTAATCTCAAACTAAACGAGAAAGTTTAATTTTATATAAGATAAAAAAAATAATTAATTTTTAAATGTAATTTAAAACTTACCAAATAAATGGTTTTTTTTTTTTTATATGGATATCATGATAAAGCAAATAATGGTTATGAAACTAGCCGTGTTACTGTTACATTATCACCGTGTTGTTGCATTACATTACTGAGCATCTAACTTATGCCCAATATTCCTACCAAATTAGCAACAACTATATGGATTTTTCGTCACTAAATAATTTAATTAATGAATTACAATAATAACAAAGTAAGGAACATGAGTATTGACTATTAAGTAGTAGTTATATTCGAAACGTGAAGTTTTTATGGACTTATTAAAATGTGAAAACATAAGTTTTCTTTGGCTCGTTGTTGGCATTTGTTTGTCG